TTATTTTAAACTTGAAAATTTCACCAAAATATTTCTGGCTATAAGCAAGTTTAGACACTAGAATTATACTTTACCTACGGAATAATGAGATTTAAAATGATTATGAATTTCAATGTACAATGATGGTCCATTTGTATCTTGTTAAAAGCGAAGTAAAACCTACAGATATTAAGTTAATAAAATACTTGAAATTGATAAAGGTGGCCAAATTAGAGAATCGGAGCAAACGTGAGCGACCGTGACATTGACGTCGAGAAAGTGATTAGCTTTCTATACAACAAATAATAATGCACAAATAGGTATAGTGTGTATGTAACAATTCGGCATAATCTATGAACTTATCGATGTAACTTATTTGGTATTGAGATATGAAATGAAAGAACGGATTGATTACAAGGCATTTTTACTTTCTAATCCTTTTTATAAATCCTAATTTCTAAGGTCATCTACTAGCTCTAGCCGTAAATCAAATGTAACTCGTAATTTTAATTATTCTATTTGCAAAACTTTATTTCGAACCTTAACTTATTATCTTGTTTTGAACCTTAGGAAGTTTATTGACCACATAGAAAGCGTATATTAATCAAGTTTCGTAGTTTTCTGTAATATTATATGCATTATTCCCATTGGCTAAGAAATCGATCAAGTCTGGCAAGGCCACTTTTACATTTTCTCATAGTCGCATGTAAAGTACGGTTGCACCAGTCAAAAATGAATGAGACACCTAACCTATTGTTATTTTGAACTAAGTAGAATTTTTACTGCTTGGCGACATGTTACAATAAGTTATCAGGTATTCACATTAAACTATAAGATACGCTTGTTCATGTAAATCCCTTAATTATACCAGTCGCTTTATATGAGTAAACAGTTTGAGCGTTCTAAATCAACCAATACTCGAGACGTGTAACTTTCATTTAGATCAACACGAGAATGTATTAGTTAGTCTAACTTATTGTGAAATAGGTTTATCTAATTCCCAATTATTCCTTCAAAGATTTCAAGATGCAGCCACATTCTGAATCAATATCATTAATGTTGTATTAGTAGTTAATTAAAAGCGCTTTTAAACAATTTTCTAGATATTATTTGGTACTACATTACTTATGATTGACCGAAAAATTAAATTATATCTCATCAATATTGACCATTTAACAGACAACTACGTTCCTAGTTCAAGAAGCAATGAGAAAATCCAGGATCGATTTTGTCATAAATTTGAGTAATTGGTAAACGTCCAAAGAAAGCTATACTTCAAAAATTCTAAGAGGAACAGTTGTTTTTAATATGTATAACTGATCTTTGTATTGGATTATCACGACTTACCATTTTTCAATAACAGATTGAAGCAGAAAACTTCTGCAAATTTCGCTTTTATGTCATTTGTGATATTTTTCAAACACTGAAAATCCTGAAGAAAAGTACCAGTAAACTCCTACTTTCACTCACTCTGCCAAATCGAAATCATTCAGTAATTAGACTTTAGAAACATATATTGTTGAGCGTATCATATATTGTTCGCGTTATGTGAAAAACAACAAATCTACTGTACATCAGAGGAAGGTGAAGTATCAAGTTATAGTGACCTGCTTTTGTCAACAGAACGCGAATGTTTCGATGAAAAAAATTATTATTATAACCAATTGTACCAGTCATTGTTTTACTGTGCTCGTTTGTTTAACTATGCTAATGACAGCCATTATACTTACTCTCCCGTTGACTTTGAACTTGTACGAATTCGGTTACGTTTAGTAACCATGCTTGTACTCCTTTGGCACGATCTCGGTATTCTTTCGATACCACGAGATCGCCAACAAATACATTTCGACTACAGCCTTCTAATATTGGCCTACGGGGATCTTATTGGTTAATTGGCACGTAGTCTTGTAGTGGTGCTCATAGTCAAGCTCAACTCGACACCACGCTACAAAGTAATACATTTTGCTCAATATTTCTGATTGTAAATGTTGTTTAGACAGAATAAGTGAGAAACACAATGAAACATCTACCAAGGAAAGTGAACCCGGGGATTTTAAATTTATCGAATATTTGACTAAACAGTTTATTTTATGTAAATAAATTTTAACACTAAATGGAATGAAATTATGAAACTAACCGTTCGAAAGCGTGTTAACCCTTCATTACATTCAAAGTTTCTTTGTATAACCTCTTCAAATCCATAAATCCTGATTTTTTTTATAGTATCTAATTAATACTTTTGAAGTTTGTTAGCTACTAAAAAGGTCCAACCTACTATTATTATTTTGATATATTTTGTATATTTAAATTCTAAAGAAAACATGCTTATTCGCTCATATGGGAAACGACAAAACTGTTTTATTTTTGCGTTTATGTGGTATAGTAGCCGCCTTAAGGTATGTTGAGGGTTAAAATTACTTGAAATATAGATTGAATCAGAAAAATCCACACTTTACATTGATCAAATATGCGTCACGTTTTTACATATACACGGCAAAGTGTTTTAATGTACCTTTCGTTAGTTTTTGAGAATTCTTTCGTAAGATATTCGGAATCTGAAGAAACATTGTTAAATAGAAACTTTTTAGAAATTCTATGTTTATGGTGAATTATATGTCGAATCTTCACTGGATAATTATAGAATTCGTTACTAATTTCAGCATGTTTCAAAAATCTCTAAATAAATAGATCATAATTGTTATGTCCCGATGAGAATAATGAATGGTAACTTTTGGAATCCATTTATGGAACAATACTATACGCATATTTTATCGTTTAATTGTTAAGCGACTAAACTATTCATATTTGTGTCCCTCTCATTATCAGCTTTATTTTGACCTATGAACTGTTATTATACGATTTACCATTCTTGAGTTATACCCTGTCAATTAGTCACTGCCTCCCTCATTCACAGACACTTTTGGCCAAATCGTGTACAAATGTTGTTTCCTATTTTATTGGTACGATGTGGTCTTTTTGGTCGGTATAAAAACCCAGAATGTTTGAAATAAATGATTCATATTTCAGAGGCTGAGATTAGTGATCCGAACTTAATAGGCAGGGCTAGGAGGGAAGCAGGACCGATAAAGATTCTAGACTGCTCATACTTGTTTTATGGGCCAATGGTACGGTTTATAATTTACTAATTAGTGATATCATTACGTTATACATTAATAGGACACAAGGCACAAGATATAACAATACCCAAACATATTAAATCAAAGTTCAGTGCTGAACTTCCAGATGTACCACTTTTCTCAAGATAATAATGATTATCATTATTTTCTAATGTGATTGTTTTCAGTGAATGAATAGAATAATGCTTCAGTAAATAATTTGTCCAACAATATTTTTGAATAAAGATCTTCAATAAAAACTAAATTATTTATCTTGATCATGTGCGTGTTAATGTTATTAAATACAAAATAAATTTACTAAATGAAATTCGAAACATGAATATTTACTTTTGAAAGACTTTTGTTGTTGTACAGTTATGCTTAAATCAATGAAAAATGTTTCTTTAAAGATTCATTATTTAAGATATGTAAACTGTATTGATCACAACTGATTGATCACTGAGTGATGATCAATCGATTGTGATCACATCTCAGTCTTACAAGGGGTTGGTTGCTGCCCGGATAGATCAGTGGTAACGTCTGTGACTGTGAAGCTGGGTGACATGTGGTCGAGTCCGTGAAGGAGCACCAGTTCCCTTAAGATTACAGGTACGCCTTGCTGACGAGTGCCAAGTAGCACGAAACCCGGGTTCAGGGTTTCCTGTAGACTACCTCCAGCCACCATCTAGACTGTATTGATCTTAATAGATCTTTTGTATTTCTTATTAACATTTACTTATGCTAATAATATGATCATTTTATTAGCTATTTAATTATTTAAAAATGAAGAATATTTGAGGGAATAATTGTTTTCAATAACTTCATTATCAGGCTCTACAGTTAGAAGCCCATAATGAATGTGATATTTTACAAAGGCTTAAATAAGATATGCATTAATTTATTTGACGATGTTATATGTTAAAAATGGTGAACGTTGGCATCTGTTACAACAGATATACTTCAAAATTGTGTTATTTGCAAATTAAAAAGGTCAGAATGATTTGGAGTAGTGTCCGGTCACAATCGATAGAATGGTGATACAAAAATGTCGTGTGGATAAAATGCATAGTAAGAGAATTTCATCTTGTCAATTGAGATAATAATAATACTGTTGTGTGGATATAATATGTAATAAGGGGAGTGTTATCAAGGTAATTACGATTAACGAATTGGGAATGGTAGATGTGAATATTAAAATGGATGTAATCAAAAAAAGGGAAGAGCGTATGATGTTTATAATATTCAGTTTAGGTATCCGGTGATCCAGTCGTGGGCCAAGGTAAATATAGAGGCTGGATATATTTTTTCTGGATACATAAGTTTGGTTTTCTGAAGTTGATCCAGATGGCTTCGGTTATGTGGAGCAATCGTAATCTAGCTCCTTGAGGTAGATATTTCGGAACTTGATACAAAACAGAGGAAGCTTCCTCTATTTTGATATGATGTTCACTATCTACCAAGTGAGGAAGAATAGTGCTGTTAATTGATTTAGTAACTCCTTTTCTCAACCATGCTGGTAAATGTTCACGAACACGCAAGGATGAATCCCTATGAGTACGGCCTATGTAACTAGCTCCACAGGGGATTTTTAAACTTAAATATTTATCAAATATTCTATTCATCATATTCGAAGTTTGAACGGCGCGTAAAAAACAAACAAATATTTCTAGTAATAGTTTAGTATTATTTTTGTTTAATACATGTAGTGAAGCACTTCATAGTTAAAACAACCGGAAGCTACTATAATATACAAAAGTTTTGCATTCGATAAATTTCGATGCTTACATAAATTCTTAATTAGATTAGATATCTATTTTGAATTGTGGTAAAAACAAAACTTAGAAGAGTAAAAGAAGTTACATAATTCATGTGTTTCGTTTTCCTCCATATTTCTTTTTCAAATCTTCAAGGAAGTAATCGAATGTTCCTTTTAAACGACAACACAGGTTTAACCTGATAGTAAAGAAATTACACAATTTAGTTTATTGATTACACAGTAAATGATAAAATACATAGCATTATCAGAACATCATCAGTGTTCATACAGTCCCAAAAAATCGGTGGTTCAGTATCAGTTATTGTAGTTTACCCATTAGTGACTGGATAAATGAAATTACATTGAATAGCTTATATAGGTGACCTAACTTCACAGTAATCCTATGTTAGCTCGTAATTAGTAACAAGATGGATTTTCATTTTTAAAAAGAAGCCTTAACCTACTAAGTTAACGATTTTTCGAGTGAGTTAGTTAACCACCAATATTATTAGATGATTACAATCCTGATGTTGGATACACGCTATCGAGAAACCCCATAGTAAGAAAAGATAGCTGCATAATAAGACTTCACGTTAAATGATCCATCACTGATTTCGGTTCATGAATAAACTATATTCAAATTGTTCACTACTCAACAAACATGATTTACTTATGAATCTTACACGTAGTTAAAAATGAGATAAACTTACCAACATTCTAAAAAAAATGTCCTACGTATTTAAACGTTAATTAATAATCTGTTTATAATAGAAATATAAAATATTGACTTCTGAAAACAGTCTCAAAACTTGCATTTGTTTTTTTTATCATTCTGTTTATTTAAGTAATAATGGAATTTTTCATGTCGAGGTCATAGAATAATGGTATTAAAAATCCAATAAGATTTTCAATCTTAAAAGTAATTCGACTATCTCAAAAGAACTAACGTATGTTGATTTACATACTTGAACACTATAATTTCATTGTTCAATATTAATTATTTGACATAATTTTAATTCATTAAGGAAACTTTTTTCTGGAGTACGACATTTACATTTTAGATCAGCTTGAGACATTTAATATATCAATGAAAACTTTAAGTTAGTTGAGATGATGAGTCAATTGAAGCTAGACAACAATAGAAAACGTGGAAGAACTGGACGGCCGTTTCGTCTTATTGTGAGACTCCTCAGCAGTGCGCATCCACGATCCCGCCTGGCGAGATTCAAACCAAGGACCAGTTCTAGTGAGAAGCAGTGACCAGCGGTGTTCAATCGGGTATGTTATGAGAATACAATGGTGGATGTGTCACTCAATTTCGTGAATTGGTTGAACTTAGACATTAACACCATTGGATGCCGGCCGGCTCAGTGGTCTAATGGTTAAGCACTCGCGCGCGAGACTGATAGGTCCTGAGTTCGAATCTTGCGAGGAGCGGGATCATGGAAGCGGACTACTGATGAGTCTCTCAATAGGACGAAACGGCCGCCCAGTGCTTCTAGGTTTTCTATGGTGGTCTAGCTTTAATTGACTCATGGTCTCAACTATTAAAAATTGATGTCACGGTAACAAATCTAGTATTTCGAATGTTTTACTTAATTTATTCAAAACTAACAACAAAGTTCATTAAAGAATGGTTCACAATAAACTTGAACTACTGAATAATATGTATATAAAAATTTTTCTCTCAGTAAAACAGTTTTCATTGCCATAATGGTTCACCATTAAATTGACTTGTGTTACTGGATGATAATGACAATCATAAACCTATTTCTAAGCAACTGTAATAGCAAATTCATGAATAAGAAAATTCCTTGATAGTCTAAATGCTCACCGTATAATTACTTTTATAGTTAAACTTACCTTAAGTCAAAAATAACTAGGAAACGACATTTGTATTACGTAAGTTTTCTATTATCAAAGTAATTTTTATCAAATAACATAGTTCATATGCTCAATGGGAAATAAAAATGTAAAATTTCTAAATGATTACTAAAAAATAGAATGTCCTAAATGTCATTCATTTCTCGAAAAAAAATACCACCAAAATAACACTTCGACATGAGTTTTAGAACTACCTTCGAAACTCAAATCCAATAAGCGTCACTTTAAATGTCAAATTAATCTATTGAGCTATAGAAACAAGAGTACCATTTGTTAGTGTAATGAAAACAGTGTTGCAGTGATATTTTTAATGCTAAATAACTATACCTGTTAATTACCTTGAATATCTCAATGGTAAACGTTTTCATAGCACTGACTAAAACACATTCTATAGAAAACTATATATAGTGTGTGTATCGTTTGTTTATTGAAATACAAATTTGCATTGTTTGATGCTATGGTCAGTTTCTCAGAAGAAGAATAATGAGCATGAATGCAAGGAATAATATACATGACATCAATGCGATAAGTTGTCATGGTGTTTAGTATCACTAATAGCAAGAATAATAACGCACTGTTTAAAATGGTGAATACTATCAAACTAGCGTAGACAAACTTAATTAAGATGGTCTATTAAACATGAATACAAATACCTAGAGTTGGTATTTTAGGCTTTTCTCTACGTTATATCATGTACTGAATGAATAAACAAACATGGACTATCAGTTTTTCAGTGGGGTTTATTTAAAACTTTATCAGATTCGTATTTAAAGCGATTTCAAAATAACCATGGTCTGACTTACCACCTTCTCCAGTCACTACTGTATATAGGAAATTAAAATTGCTCAATACGTAATTGCTTGGTTATCAAGGATACATATTCAAATTGTTGTGATTAAACAAAAAGATCACATCAGTTGCCGAAAACATTCGTTTTTAAACGGAAATCAGGATATGTTAATGTCACCGAACTGTCTTTACACCCAAGTACAAACAAAAATACATCTTCACTACATATTTATAGATTTAGACTGTGGTAACCATCTACAATTAACACTATAAAAATTAGTAATTTTATAAAACTTTCTGTGAATTCAAAAATGAAATATTCTATTCAACTCTGACTTGAAAGATTATAGTAGTAATTTTAGAAAAATCAGTTAAGACCACTAATGGTGGGATTGATATTGTAGCGAACGAGGACACAAGTCATGATAATCGAAAGTATTCGAACATAAAATTACAAAAATCTTAGTAAAATCTGAGTACGATACAGTAAATACTTCATTTGCAAAACATCAATCAATTGTCTCAGATTTCATTGTTTCTTCGTTTCCACACCAATCATTCTCTGTTCTCGTTCTCTTTTCTTCGATCTTCTTAACCTTCTGCCATAAGACATTTCACTATCTATTGACGATACATACTACTTATATCTATCAACACCAATAGCACACACCACAATATCACTAAATATCTGATAAATGATTTGGTGTTGATAAGAGTGATTCGTCTCAGGTGTTTTTATGAACCACAGTCAAATATTCATTTGCTTTTTGTAGTAATTAGCAAAGAAGACTTTATCATACATGCTGTTTTAACAAACGAAACTTGAGATGACTGATTTCTAGAAAGTAAGCAAACTATAATAATCAACATATTTTTTATATCCCAATGTGTAGAAAAATTGTATTTCTGACATTTAGTGACTTAATGTGAGCCACTTTTATTGATTCTGAAGAAGCGGCTTACATTTAGTTTCAAAATGTCAGGAATACAATTCTTTTCTTACTCATTGGGATATAATAAAGAGGATATTTATTATTAACCCTCTACCTAATGCTCAATTCATTCCGAACTATCAAGTTCAACCTTGGCATTGATACCTATAAACTCTTTAAGCAAACTATAATTGCTGTCCGTAAATATTTTATTTGTTCTTTTCAATAGAAATGAAATAAAATATCCCTTTAATTATTTCTGTAGTAACAGAGTGATGAATCCAAGTTTAATAGTGAAATTTATTATATTCACTAGTAAAATGGTTTCTTCTACTCATAAATCCACCTAGTTATCAAACCATGTTACAAGTTATATTGAATAACTGTAACATAATTGATGTGTGGTAGTAAAAGTAAAGTATGATTGGTCGTTGAGCTTAGACAAATAGCCACAGTCTAGGGATTATTAAATATGTAATTTTACTTCTTATCATTGATTTATAGTCTAGAGTCATTGTATGTGTTTGCTTGTAAGATATTCTCTAGTCAATACTCTGGTTCTCTATTCTGAGTTGTGAATCCTGGTTCTGATATTACGTGATTAGTCTTATTAACGTATCAATGTATTATCCGTAATAAGCATGTAACACAGGAAAATATTTTAAACCATCCATTATATCAATAATACTGTATTCGGATATTTGATTATTGTAACAGTTCTAAAGTGTTATCGATCTCATTGGTATGTTAATTTTTCACTATTTATAAAGAATATTGTTTCAAGGCTTATTTTACTGTTAGATATAGGAACATCTAATAATACATTATTAAAGCTCAATCTTTTTTAGTTGAAATGAGTTGTTTTTAACCGAATAATTAAGCAATGAATGATTTTATTGACTTATTTCTGTACATTAATTATAATTTCGTTTTCATTATTTTAGAAAGATGGGTTGAAGTTAGACATTAACACCAATGGATGTCAACTCAATTGTCTATAGGTTAAGTGTTCGCTCGCAAGACCGATAGGTCCTGGGTTTGAATCTCGCGGGGAGCGGGATCGTGAATGCGCACCGATGAAGAGTCCCACACTATGAAAAAACGGCCACCTAGTGATTCCAGGATTTTCATGGTAATCTAGCTTCAATTGACTCATGAATTCAACTGTTAAATTACTAAAATTTCCACAAAAACCCTCTTCTGATTTTAAAAAGATTCAAGAAAATATGTACTACCTTGTTTAACTAGAATTTCTAACTGATTATAAAAGTCAGTTAACACATTTATGCATTATATATTTTATCACGACAAGGTTATTTTCACTGAAAAGGGTTTTACAGGTCAAATGGAAGTTATGCTGCTTGTTGAGGGATACTACCCCTAACTCAGGGTTTGAAAAGTCGGAAAAATAAAAATTTCGCGAATGCAACAAAAATGATCTTGGTGGTCTAGTTATAATATTCCGAAACTAGACAATGGGTTTTAGGCGTTATTTAAGACCTAACGCTTCAGGCTGGGCTATTTCGCTTACTACCCTACATATGTGTTGTATGAAGTATAAGCTATATTGCTATGTAGAGCTGAAGATCTCATATGAGACTGGAAGTTTGCCATTGGTATTGTGGATGGTTCGGCATTGCTTCGGCAAGTTTTGCTGACTGTTCATGCACGAAATTGGTTTGCTGGTTAACCAATTTGATTCATACTGGTGGGTGCTTTTCAGTGTTCTTGAGAGCCATTGTCATTGGGACATTGTAAGGCATGTCGCTTTTGTTAACAATAATGAGTTTGACTGTCGTGTAAGCGTAATAGGTCAACTTTGGTTTTTTCGTGCTGTGCATAATTGATTCACGCGATCATTGGTCGGAATAACTACACATGCGATGTGAATGTGTTTATGAATGGTGCGAATGGTCCATCAGGGTGCTTGGTACCTGTGTGGTTGCTTCACAGGATTGAGCTACACTATTCAGATTGTAGCGTTAAAGCCTATACAGTGTCTGGCTCTCCTGTTAAACGGGCTTGGGCTGTACTGTTTGAGTTGTCACGTGAAAGTCTGGACGGTGTCTGGTTCTCCTGAAAACCGATGTAGAATTACACTGGCCCACAAGGGTATATTAGATAATAATAATAATAATGTTGCTTGTCGAGAGTTTTTTTTATTATCACGGATCGACATCCGTAGGAAACCACTGAATTACTGATGATAGTGTTCAGAACTACTCAGATAGTTTATAACTTTGATGAAGACAAACTTAACATTAAATATTACTTGCAAATGTCTTTCTACAAACATATTGATCAGGTAAATTTAGGTTATATTTTTAATGATAAATAAATAGTTTCTAATTATTTACGTACAATATTGTTGTTTTGTAAGTCTGTACGCAAACAAATACGCATAGCATTTGCTTCATTGAAAAATTTAAAAAACTAGTTGACCTAACTTTATTTACCTTGAACCATAATCTACTTTGAATATTCACAGAATATTAGCTGATTGTTTTTGAAATTAAAACAACAGGAATCTAATTATATTTATGTAAACAAAAAGAATTTGTTCAATGAAACATGTTTCAAGAACTTAGAATAGTAACAATCAGAGTTATTCACCAACATTTGTCATGTTTGAAATTGTATTCTTTTGAGAAAAAACGCCTAAAATATCAAATTTTGGAAACCCTCGTTATTTCATGAGTGTTTTGTAAAGCTCAAAGAAAGATTTTAAATCACGAAGTGTTTTGTTGACATTGTGATTTAACAGATCATGTCTTGAAATCAATGTTATCGTGATTGCCGTGATATTTAAAAGTAACGGTCTAGAAACCATGAGATAATTTGAGTCCGTTTCTATTTAGTTAGGCAAATATTGAACTCCGCCTATAGCTCTTCTAGAGTCACTACCGACCCCAAGCCCGTGTAAAGGAGGATGGTTGGGTATGCAGTTAGTGACCCCATCTCGCAGAAAACTAACTCGCTAAAAAAACGCTAACCAGTAAGCAAAAGTTGACAACTATTTAGTATGATTTCTGCCCCCCTTAGAAATCATTTATTGAATCTTTTACGAACTATAACATGATAACAATCATAGTTAACATCATTAATCACACAATCAATCAAACATATTTTGATGTACTTACCATGAATTCCTTCAAGAAGTATAAGTGATAATGTTAAAACTACTGTAGATAGTAGAAAATATGAATGCATTATTTCATCTAGAATATTCTAGAAAATTTAACAAAATGTTATTAATATATACTATTCATTAGACATCATAGGTATTTATAGACAGTTCCTGATTTATATTTGTAACCCTACATGTCAACAAATCGATTATATTCAGGATTTGTATTCTCTTTAAAGTAATTTGATCCAAATAAACATCAATTGTTTTTTTTTGTTGTGTAGATCAAGTTTCTATTTAAGTTAGAAGTATTACTTTCACGAAAATGAACATAATCTACTTTAAGTGTTTAGCATAATTTTTAGAACTAAAGTCGATTTTGTTAGTAAAGGATACATTAGAAACCAATTCATTCGTTTTTTCTTGAATGTACATTTACTGTAAAGTATATTGTTTGATTTGGTTTATATATTACTGATTTTTATTATAAGTAGTAATAAAATATCGTTTCCAAAAATATTTTAATATAATAGGTGTTATAATTGATAATCCGTTTTATTTGAACTGAACTTTTGACATAGTGGCAAGACGTAATATGTAGAATAATATGAATTAGGTCAGATATAGTAGATTTAGGGGTGGATATTGAACAAATTCCTCAAAAAGTTTATCAAGCGTAATGATAATAATAATAATGATCACAGTCGTAAAGATAATAGTGATAATAATAACAATAATGTTTGGGACATAAAATGAAAATTAATCGAATTGCGTCACCATATTATGAAATTGATTATTAACTAGTTGGCCAGGGTAAAAGGAGTGGCTGAACATATTCCTTTTGGATGCAAAGCTCTGGCTTTTTGATCCGAATAGCAATTGCTTCAGCCGTCTGTAGGATTCGCAGTCTGACGAGATTAGGTAGACTGTTGTCAACACGATAGATTATTGCAAAAGACCGCTCCATGTTGGCTGTATGTCCTGTCTGAATTAGATGGTCTAAAATGGAACTGTTAACCGTTTTGACTACACCTTTGCCTAACCACACGGGGAGGTACTCACGAGCCCGAGTGTACAAATTCCTAGAACATCTGCCAATATAACTTGCTCCACAGGAGCATTTTAATTGATAGATACAGAAAGAAGTGGCTAGTCTAAGCAGTTTATCTTTCAACTTCAATATTTAATTTTCTGTCAAAATTTAGAGGATTGTTTAATATTTGCCCATTTTATCACTATTTATCACATCCAAACCAGATTCTTTACTAATGGCATCAAGTTATCAAAGTGAATAAAGTAATTTTTACGTAAGATCAATAACAGTCAGTCTATGCGATCTCTATATTTTAACCGTTGAATTCCTAAGTGTTATATATTGAGGGGCCGCCGAGTAGATGGGCAGTGAATTTCGATCGGACCAAGGACGCGTAAAACACGTGTGAGCGGCCTAGAGTTCTGATTGGCCCTGCTTTCCGCCTAGCCCAGTTAGTTAAGTCCAGAACGCCAATCTCAGCCTCTGCAATGCAAATCGTTATATTTCAAACATACTGAGTTTATATACCAATCAAAAAGACCACAACGTACCAATAAAATAAAAAAATTACTTTTTTACAAAATTTGGTCAAATGTGGCTGTGAATGTGGGAGGCAGTGACTAATAAACAGGGCATAATTCAAGAATGGTAAAATGTATATTAATGGTTCATAGGTCAAAATAAAGCTTATAATAAGAGGAACATGAATATGAATAGTTTAGTTCTTTAACAATCATACGATAAAAATATACGTTTAGTATTGATCCACCAATGGATCCCAAAATTACCATTGATTATTCTTTTCGGGACATAGCACTAAGTCAATCTAAGTTAGACCACTATTGAAAACCTGGAAACACTGGATGACCAGTTCGTCCTAGTATGGGACTACTCAGAAGTGTTCATTCACGATCCTGTATGCGGGACTTGAACCCGGTACCTTGGGTCTTTCTCACAAACGCTTAACCTATAAACCACTGAGCCAGCGTGCGAAACCAAAAATTCCTGGGTTTAAATGTCAAGTGCGGGATCCTGTATGCGCGCTGTTGAGTAGACCAATACTAGGATGAAGCGACCATCCAGTACTTCCAGGTTTTCAGTGGTAGTCTAACATTCACCGATTCATGATCTGAATCATAATACGCTCAGTTGTACTCGTCTAGTTCTATCGGCCTTATATTGCACAAGTTCGGGAATCCTTAGTTATCAAATCAGTTTGAATACTTCCAATCACCATAGAATCCTTTAAAAACCGTTAAATCATTTACATTGGTGATGATGGCAACAAAAATACTGTTAACTAAGTGTTATTAATTCTACATACTCCTCGATATATGTATTAGGTTTACTGTAATTTAACTTTCAGAAGCTATTAGTTTTCGAGAATACATTTTTAATGAAATCAGGTTACCCTTCCTATAATCTATCCACATCAGTTCTTAAATATGTTGGCAACTAACTCAAATTAAGTCAAGCAACTTGTCTATGTAATAGAGTTAGTATTCCATTAAGAAAATCAGCATGGAAATACATTTCTCAGGAATTGACAGAAAGTAGATTACTGTTGTCAATATAAATATGTTCAGTTGAATCGTCTACCTGGGAACACTCCGTAATTACAAATGAATTTATTGCATAACACAATATATATGTGCTCATTCATCAAATTTTGGTTATCTCCTCCAACAAAGTTGTATTTTTGAGTTTACTCTGATAATTGTTCTCACTTTGCTGTAAGCTCATAAAAGTGATGATTTATTCTGAACTGAGTACAGATACTATTCAGCAAACACATCAGTTAGAGAAACATTAAAGACAAAGAAGATTGGTTTTTGCTCGTGAATAATCACCTGTGCTTAAGCACAAAACCAGTAAAGATGGAAATCATGACCTTAGGTTTTCAAGTTGGGCATGATGCATTTAGACAGCTTAATAGAAGTTTATTGGTTTGATTGACTATTCTTATTCGAGTCAATGCAAAGCGCGACCATCAGCCACAATCATTAGTCGTTAAATTTTCAATCAGGATATGATGGAATTCTATTAATCACTACTGCTCATTGCAAATTCGGTAATCTGCCTTATATGTGATCAATAATAAGTGGATTGTGACTGTGATGAGATTATCATTCATCAGCTAACTTGGATTATTTTCATTCCACTAAGCTGAGGTCATCGGCTGAGAACAATGTTGTAGGTATATTATCTACATTTATAACAGGTTTTCCATCCTCAAAAATATGGTCATTGCTCTTAGTAATTTGTCTATAAATGTGGTTGTAGGATGTGATGAGGGAGAAAGTTTCAATGTTATTGAATTAATTTCGAATTTTGTACACCGGACGTAATTTCCTATCATACTTAACTTATATTAGGTTGTCTCTAAAACTAATTTTGAGATGTTTTAATATTTTCGAAATGGAGTGCATAATAATTTGTATACCACTCCGGAAACTCCACTTTTACATCTAATTCCTACCGAACCGAAACATATTTCAATGTCAGTGAAATCAACAATCGATCTAATTCGAAACGCCATTAGAAATCTGGAAGCACTTGGTGACCGTTTGATCCTAATATGTGACCCTTCAGACGTGAGCATCCACGACCATTCTACATAGAATTAAACCCATGACATTTAATTTTGAGCAAATTGGCTAACTCTAGACCACTGACTATGAAAGTCAAAGGATGATGGTTGCATTGTTTCGTCCAATGATTAAATTTAAACATTAACACCGCCAGATGCCGACCTAATGGTCTATATATGAAGTGTTCGCGCACGATACCGATTTTCGTGGTTGCCTACAGCTAAGGTGTCCCACATTAGGATGATACGGCCACCAAGTGCTTCCATATTTTCAGTGGTCGTCCAGATTCCATCGGTATATGATTTCAATGAAACCCAATTATCGCCACAACCCCTTTATTGGGTATTCTCGTTTGTCTCTAGTTCTAGCGTGGTATATGCTATTCATCCTGACAAATATAAGTAGTATATGGCCGCAATCGAGCGTGAAATGCCTGACAGTAGAAGATTGAATTGAAGTGAATAAGATGGAAATCGGAGAGGAATCAAAATAACAACAGGATAATAGGAATAATGGAGTATGTAAAGGCAACTCAAAGATATGCAAATGATGTATTTATTGTATGATTTTCGTATTTCACTAACCAACTGTGTTATTTTGCATTGAATGACAATTTTGTTCTCCCTAACAAATCTTCGTTCATCATGCTAGTATTTAAAAACTTAGTTTGAATTCAATTTAGGTTGCTACTTCGTTTCTTTTGTCTGTTAATTTACTACATTTTTGTATCGGAATTTTGATAAGTTTGGGTTTTACAACCAAATCAAAGATCAGAAAAGTATGTGGATTATCTCAGTATTGAGTGACGAACAGAAATGTGAGTTTATATTTACGTGTACTGTATACTGTACGCTAAGTTTCCCATTGATTATATCATATTCTGTTGTACTAGCATGAGGGTTATATTTTTCTATCTCAAAATGACTATCAAATTCTACCCTAATAGTGTAATTATCACCTGCTCATCTCCATAATTTAAGATTTTGTTTCAATCCAGTAGGTGGTGCTCTGTATCCATGAATTATGAGTCTCAGATTCGACTTGAAGCAGTTGTGAATTAATTTTTGATTTACCATAATCTTTCAAATTATTTCAGTTTGCCCCAAATTATTGTAGATAGGTATGAACGCTTGATTTACATGCTTAAATCAATCTTCATTGATCTCTATCAAATGAATCTTTCTTTCAGGATGTGTCATTTTTTAAAAGTTGAATACAGTAGGAAAAGGAGTATTTAATAGCCTGTTATCAAAGTGCAGCTAGAATTCATCACCGTTAGTTCAATATACCTTAAAGAATTCTCTACTACAGGATCTAAATCCTTTTGATATCACATGTCTACCGTCATTACCAAATATATATAGATATATATCACTAGTATAGAGCATTATGTAAATATTGAATACTATTAATTTGAAGAACTCGCACCACATCAAACATTATGTTTTATTAAAAAGTGTGGTTATCAGTAGGTCTAAAAAATTTTATTTGTAACTGATGTGTTTTGTTTTATAAAATCTTAGGAAGTAAACTTTTTTATTGTTACTATGGGTAACATGTTTTATTTTTACCTCCAAGATATTCTGGTAATACGTTCAAAAGACATTTGAATGTTTCAGCCAAACGTTCGTACACGTTTTTCCTGAATGTGTGAAATATGAAGAATGTAAGAGAAGCGATTACTATTTGATTATGAAAAAGTAAGTGTAAACGTGTGTACAATGAAGTGAATATACAATTTTTTTAGACAAAATGAAGTTGAATTCGTCCCATTGATCATAGATCACGTGTTTATGGGATAAAATTATTCTTAGAATTCACTTAAAACCTCTAACACTCCATCAGTTTTTTATGTTATTTACCGATTACATTACATTTTTGGTATGACCCGATCAAGTGAAAAATAGATTCTACTGTTTCGTTAAATACAATGATTACCTTTTGAACTATTGTATTCTTTAGTATAATCCAAACACACTGTTTTGAAAATAAATACTATCGTCAACAGTGAGCAATGTAAATCCATAGCTGTGAACTGAAATAAGTTGCATGTTATTATATACTGAGATACATGATGTTAACACAAGATCTGACAGCAACCCACAGTAAAAAACTTAAGATAGACTGATAATTTCATTTTGTTAAGCCGAATAGCTTTAAATTAACGTGTACTTAGATAAAGTCTGCCGAAATAGTATTTGCTGGGGTGTATTGGAAAGATTTCAAGGATGTCGAGTCCCAGAGTGAACATCAACTCTGATATGCAGGTATATCCAGCTGACGAGTTTCAGATAGGACGAAACGCGCATTCTGAATTCCACTGCTAACCACTATCCATCTCTACTTATGTCAGCATTTTTGTTTACTTTTCAAAAAATAAAACTTATTATAACTATTTGAAATTTTCATATTCCAATAGAACATTATATATTTACTAAACTGTACAGCTCAAGATCATGTGTTAGTATGCGGTATAAATACGAATTAATTGAAACGGATACCTTCTACTTTAAATGTGGACAAGTTTAGCTTTACTTAACATGCTGAAAAATCGTTCCATAGAACGTTCGAACTGAATTCGTAATTTAGTACACATTATTTTAAAAATCATTCTCTTCATTATAGCATAGTGTTGTGTATTAATGTTATACTCTTACTACTAGAATGGTCATATTTATTGGAATAAATTTTTACTAGAATATTATCATAATCTTCAAATAATTGATTAGCTTATAATCTATAAGAGGTTGAATAAGCCATACTCAAAACTCGGAAACTAGACATCAAGTGATCTTTATAAGTATACTAATGTAGCTGAAAAAAAAATAGTTTGTTACCTATTGCGCAAGAAGTTTTCATGAACTTATCACTCTGTGTTTAACTTTGAATATACAACTATCTTTTGACTAGAAATATGTATCACATATTAGGAACGTAATCGTGTCAATCGTTAACGACCATTTTGGTAAATGTAAATTTAATATAAGTAAATATATATCCATCATAGTGTAGTGTTGTACAACGAATAATTCACATTCATTTATTATTCTAAGTTATTAAAAGCACTAGTCATTAGATTGTATCAACAAATCTTTAGTTGTCGAGTTAAAACACAAGAGTCTGCAATTGATTAAGATACGTATTCAATTTAGTGTATATACGATATAATAACTGTGATAATTTTGTCTCGATCCTAGATTACATCGTTACGTATTAGCGATGAATGCTATCAACTGTATAATAAATAGGATAATAGAGAAACTGACTTACCAGAAATCTAAGATAAGCTGTCTGAAGTGTGATAATAATTTTTTTATGACACTATCAACGTTTCTATAGAAAGTCATGAATAACTTTGAAAATTTAGCAAAATTATGATTTCTGTCTATATGCAATAACAATTAATAAAAATAAACTAAATTCTTTGTTAAATAATTATATCAAATAACCATAAGATTTCAGCTATCGTTTATTGTCACATTGGCTTCTCGACCCTGATCCAATAGATTAATACTTAGAAAGAAATATCTATGCTAATTACTTTTCACACATTTTATGAACACTTAAAGATGACTTAAGTATTCATCAAAAGATAGATAGGGAAGTTATCATTGGGAAAGGATAGCTCAGTATGATAAGATAAAATGTTGAAACTGAGATTAAATATAATCGGAATGATCGTGAAAATAAAAACAAACCAGTTGGGGGTAGAAGATTTAAAGGGAAGGTGAAAGGTGAAGCAGATGGCTGTAAAGGAACAAGAGTATGAAAAAGAGAGAGAGACCATGGTAGAAGAAGAAGTTGTACCAGTCTCTTTTGCACACACGATTCTGGTTTTCCAGATGTATGGCTATTGCTTCGACAATGCAAAGAAGATGCAGTCTAATTGCCTTAAGAAGACTTCTACTTACCTTGTAGATGCCTTTGAACGCAGAGTCTGTCTTGATTGAGTGACCTCTGTTCGTAATTGTCCAATTACTGAGCCTCTTATAGAGCCGCTTTCTCCTCTTTTTAGCCACATCAGACAATGTTCTTGAATTTTTTAGGATAAAGTACTCATCGAACGACCTATATACCTAGCTCCACAAGAGCAGGTAAATTGGTAAATGCACATTTAGTTGGTCAGATGTGATAATTTATCTTTCAGATTATTGGTGAACAATGATCGACTGGAGAATAATATTCGCAATGTTGCTACGAAGAATGCTCTTTTTAAGGAATCCAAAATTTTCTTTTCTACTGTAATTATTTGTGTTTTTGGCGTTTACGGCCTCATGTTCTTATCAATGAATATCAAAGGATACCCGTTTTTGAGAAGTATCTCCTTTAAAAGGTCCGATTCTTCATCTAAGGCTTCGAGGCTACATATTCTTCGTATTCTTGTAGCGAGTGATATTATTAAGTTTCTTTTTCAACTGATGGGAATCCAGCTGTGAAAACTTGATAGTTGGCCATTCCACATGGGTTTCCTGTAGATAAATTTTTAAAGTACCGTCTTGCTTTCGTGTCATTTCTACATCAAGAAAGTGAATATTTTGTTTGTTTTCAACTTCAAGTGTAAATTTTATTGATGGGTGACAATTATTAAGTGTCTTTAGGACATGACATAAGTCGCATTTGTTGTCACAAATGATAAAGATATTACCTTTTATACAAGTGGAGATTTTCTATAATTGTTTTGAGTTGGTTGTTTTCTAAACTAACCATGAAGCAATCTGCCAGTAATGGACTAAGTGGGGATCCCATTGCTATACCATCCTTTTGTCTATAAATTACGTCGTTGAATGTGAACTGTACATTGCAAGTGCAACGTAGTAATAGTTCCTTTAAATAAGCATCTGGCATTCCAATGTTTATCTCATTATTATTTATGCACTTTCAGAAAAAATTAATGGTCTCTGTGAATGGAACATTAGTGAATAATGATTCGACATCCAGATATAGCATAATTTTGTCACTTACATTCACTTCTTTTATGTGCTCGATAAAGATGATATTGAAGTTTACTTGAACCAAACATAACAAATTCTTATTGACATACATATCAGGAGGAGTAAGTATTTCGTAGTGTTTTGTTTATAGATCAAACTTTTTCTTTCTATAAATGTACAGAATACTTTTTAATAAACTCAAGCACTAAATCGTTTAACAGATTTATGCACAATCCCATTTGATGTACTTTCTCGGAATAACATTGTAACATCAATACAATGAATAAGATCTTATTTCCAATCATATATGTTTATAAGGATAAGGAGACTAAGCATCATTTTATTGAAGGTTATTGATTTATTTACATACAAAAATATCTATAATTGTACATATTCAATGATGAAGTAACTAGTTAATAGTTAATTATTTAGAATAAAAGGGAACTTAACAATCTACAATGAAAATAATTTAATTTCAACTCACTCTAAATTGAAGATAACTGAAAATATAATCCATAATTTGGTAAATATGTTGTTATGCGTACGTGAATAATTATGCTATCGTGATTAGTTGGTACCATGTTAAATTAAGGCCAGAATACATAACTGACCATTTAAAAAAAAATGTTTCATACATGATGTAAGATATTATTGAAGATTTGACTAACTCATTGTGAAACTACCTTAGAATAACAAATTCCTGGTATACAGACAGTTACATTTCTGTTGGATAACACTATTCAATAAACAATATACATTTTATAAATAATGACTAAATTACAAGTAGACAACATGTGAAATACATTGAAATAACAGTTGGAAGAACAAATAAATAGCCTTCATTTCATATAATTGTTTCCCTTTACGGATTTAGCTTTCTTTAAATAGCTAATAATATACTTCTCGAAATACAAATCAGTATCACTAATTTATTCCAACACAAGCTAGTCAACATGTAGACAGTAAAAATAACATAATTTTATTCATAAATGAAATCGGTAAGACTACAATTTATGGACGACTTTTGAGAGACGCTGACTGACCTTGAGAGTGTCCACCTAATATCTAGGACCAAATTAGGGTTAGAAACCTGTGTGAAGAATTAGAACTATGATTTACACTTGATGGTTAAGGTTAGGAATTACATTTAGGGTTTTAATTATGAACTGATATGAGTTATAATGCCAAAATTCTATTTATCCAAATGGATGGGTGAATTTCGAGCAAATATACGAGACCTGTTATCTTATACCTGATTGGTTCGTCCATAAATTATAGTCTCGCCATGAAATCATCTCGTTTCTACAATCCATTAGGTTTATCATATAAGTTGAAATAGTTGTTCAGGGCTGTTTGATTTGCTTATTGCTCTGTTTAATTTTATCTTATAATGACAAATTAAAGATAAATGATCATAACATGATATTTACAAACTGTTGATTTTCTTTCTTTTTTTCTATTGCAAAGGTAAACCTAATGCTTATTAACTACAATTTAACCTTTCCATATCTGAATACTGTCAGTAATTATATTTCTATATTTGTTATAACGGTTGGGTTTCCAACTTTTACACATATGGGACGTTAATTTACCTTAGACGAATATCTACACTAGATTCCCCCCCCCAGTGTCTATTCTACAGGACGTCAACACAACTCAGATCAAGAACACGTGACTAGTACGTGAATATATTTCCATGCCAAAACCTGACACAATCCAACAACAATGAACAATCAATGATAATAAGGATAGAGGAATATATAACTCATCTGACATCTGTCAGACTATCTACATGTCTGACTAAGGAGACAATCAATCATTATCATTCTCGTCTACACATTAATATTCTTTACCGCTATATAGTTTTCTTCAAGTATAGATAGTAAGGCTTTCACATGATTACAACCAATGTGAAAAATTACTATTATATTAAATTGCAAACATTTGTGTTAAAACAATATTCACTTTCAGTTATACGGTATTCCACTTGCTTATTTCTATTCGTTCCACGAACTAGTAGCTTAGTGAATTTTAAACATCATAAAAATTAATAGTTCTTGAATGACCTAATCAATTTATTTTGTTTTCAACTTTTCTGATTAGAGATAAATAAGACATATGGTTTTTGTGCAGTTTCGTTCTTGCAATGAGGTTTTTCTCAATCGAAGTAATAAAAAACTAGGTAATAACCAATATGACTGGTTCAGCCGTTCTATAAATGGTTATCGTAACTTTATAGGAATTACCACAAAGAATTCATGTAATCTATTTTATAAAAAAATTTGTTTAACATTATTTCAACAGGACGATAATCATGCAAACATTATATTGCTAAGCATCCTAAGCGCTTTCAAAAGTACTACCTCCAGTTCCCGTTCGTCCTAAAAATAAAAATCAATAATGAAGATATTTATTTTGAGAATTACATACTTAAGTTATCAGTCAGAATATATTTGAAATATAGGTAGTAAACAGTCACGTATTTAACCACATACAACTTCAGTTGATGAAATCATGAACCAATCTACGTTAGACCATCAGGTATTCAGTGATCGTCCTTTCGTGATCTTAATGAAAGTCAACAATTTCTTTTACTCCTAACTGACAATTTCAGTCAGATATTTTATCATAAGTCCATATATCTGTTAGGTAGTGTTTTCTGTTTAAGTTTTCTGTGCAATGAATTAATAGCTATTTGTTACCCAAAAAAATCCATCGTTTCCATATATGTGTAACATCAATGGTTATCGTCCAATCTGAATATAAAGCATCGCTATTGTAGTGACAACAAAAATTTCATTTTATAAACTTATTAAGCTAATAATAAACCAACTTAAAATTTATACTCAGTATCTGAGTTACTTTCAGTTTGAAAGAACAGTCAAAATGTCATTTATTTCCACTAAATAACCTTAATACAGTACGGAGCATTTGGTAGCCAGTGGTGGCTCAGTGGTCTAGTTGGTTAAGCGCTTCACGCGTGACTGATAGGTCCTTGATTCGAATCTCATGAGGCGGGGTCGTGGATGCGCACTGATAAAGAGTCCCGCAAAATCCCTTCTAATAATAATCATCTGCTCACTAGTGACTGACTTCAAGAGGCGTTTCCTAGAGTTCTAGTGAGAAGAAGTGACCAGTAGAGTTCAACCAGGTCTGTTGCGAGATATCAACTCACTGAAGACAATGGTGTACGGTGGCGCAACTTCGTGGACTGGTTGAAGTTAGACATTAAAACCGTTGGACGCCGGCCGACTCAGTGGTCCAATGGTTAAGCGCTGGCGCGCGAGACTCTTAGGCCCTGGGTTCGAATCTCGCGAGGAGCGGGATCGTGGATGTGCACTGCTGAGGAGTCCCATACCAGAGAGGAACGGCCTTCCAGTGTTTACAGGTTTTCCATGGTGGTCTAGCTTCAATTGACTCATGGTTTCAACTATTGAAATTTCTAAAATTCTCCACAAAACCCCTTTTTTAACAGATAGTTAAGACTATTATTTGATATTAGGTTATCCAACGTAAAGTAAACTGAGATATTATATAAACATAACACTTAAATGTATCATCTTAGAGACAATACGCTATGAATTAGAGTATTGCTGAAATTTCCTTAGAGGAAAACTGCTTCAAACTAATCTTTAATAACAGTTGACTGTTTACACACAACTATATGTTCTGCGGATAAGTTTTGTGTAAGTTGTCAAATAATAAAAACTTTTTTAAAATTTTACTTTAACACATAACTATTAAGACGTACCATTCACTGCTTGTAATATGATCACTGAAAGTAAAAACAAAGATCGCAGTAAAATTTTCCTGAAATCCATACTATTAATGAATCTAACTATTATACCGTAGTTTAGTCTTCGGTATTAATGAATAAATAGTGACTGCAGTATAAATAGGTAATCTAGATCATTATTTCAGTCAAGCATTTATTAACCAATGAAAAGTGTTAGTTAAACAAGAGGTTTTTTTTACTTTGTAAAATTAATCCATTGAATACAATTTATTCGTAATATCATGAGAAAAAAACAAAGTAATAATTGTACATTTCGTTACATTTAGAGCATATAAACGATCTCAAACATGTATATATATATATATATATATATATATATATATATATATATATACATGCAAAACGAAGCAGCTCATATTACAATTGATCAAAAAACTTAACTATTCAAATTATATTGATGGCAAAATCTTACAACTAATAAATCAATATACAAATTTGAATTCAGATTCCTTTTTTTACTTCTTCCATTTACAATTTAGAATAAGAGCTGTGAACATGACAAGAGTAAAATTGTATTTTCCGATATTGGCTAGCAATCCTATCTGGGATATATGTTTCGTTTTCTTGGAAATCTTCATCTTAGTATTAATATTCTCAGTATTCGCTCATATCAAATCTCTTTTAACGAAGACAGATCCTGTGTGAAATCGATTAGTTTATATTGTGTTGTGCAGTGCCCAATTTTAGTAATGATGTTCAATCATTTCATATATGGGTACAACCATCTATTCGAGTGAAAAGACTCAAATTAGGAAAGTTTATTGACCAACCGAACCAGAACATATGTTTCTTAAAAAACTTAGTCACCAAGTATGTGTGTATTATTCCTGGGAAGTTTTATTTATTTCTTGTCTTATAACGTATATTTATCATTTCATCAACTTTTGATTGATCCAATGTATAAGTTAACGTGTAAAGGTACAAATAAGAATATTTACCTGTTTGTAAATGCCTTTTATTCGTAATCAATGGTGAACACAAACGTTTGCCCAAAATGCTCTAGTAATATCTATATACTCATTTCCGTCAACCTACATTAATTTCAACATCAACACCAATATTCCTTGAAAGAATTAATGGTAGACTTATTAGACTGTAACTTCACATCTTGAATTAAGAGTTGATTGGAGTTTCATTACTAACTAACATCACTTGGAGAATTATTAGAAAAACGTGAATGAAGATGAACATATGGTAATATTAGTTAACTCCTCTACAGTTGGCACCTGAAGCATCCAGGTAGAATTAAATATAGGATCTCATATGACTCGAAGGCATGACTTTTAGGTTTTGTAATTGCTACGATAGAATATTTATCAGTGATCAATATTTTAAACTTCAGTCTACTGTCGAGGTAACGAAATTGTAACGAAGCATTTCTTGATCAAAATGACCATAGCTTGTGGATAAAACGAGTTAGAAGCGTTCTAACGTGATCATGGTGATCATAGTGTGGTGTGTGCTACTTATATAGACATAAGTAGTATACTACACGAGTTAGGAACGTAATGTCTGGCAGCAGAAGATGGGAGAAGATCAAGAAAGGAAGAGCGGGAACACAATGGAGTTTGTAGGAAAACGCATGAACAATGAAATGTCAGACAATGGATTGATGTTTACAACAGGAACGGTCCAGTTTGATATGATGGATCAATATTTTGCAAATTAGCGATTCACTAATTGGTTGTTAGATTTTGTTAACAAGTGCTGTAATTTGTTGTCAAATACATTCAATTGTCTCCACTGGTGTTCTGTTCACTACAATAGTATCTAGATTCCAGCTAAGTAGGGGAAGTAGACGCGTAAGAGTGAAATGTACGATTTGTGGCATGCAGAATTAATTCACTGAAAAACGTTATCCACAGACATTGAAAATGACTTTATTATTTTTTAGGCCTAACCATAACCTTTTATAGAATCACATTTCGTTTCTAAAGCATTCACTTCTGATAATCTGCAATTAATATACAAAGTTTCTTTGAAAGAGCCTGAGATATTTAAATTAGTTTACTCATCTATAAAAGCCGAACAATATCATAACTTAATGATATGAGATTTTGTTTCATTAAGGCTTTGCAGTTCCGATATTGAACATCAGCTAACTTCCTTACCAGATTGTTTTCACCGATTGATTCTTTTACTTTCGCTTTACGTTATTTCGATACGGTTATAGGTGTTTTGTAGTCCCCAACAAGTGATAGTACAGTCACTCGACGGCACTAATTCTAGTAGGTTTATTAATTGTTTGTGGGACCGTATATCTTTTGTTTTGAGTAAGTTTGTCTCAGAGCAATGGGATTTATGGAAACCATCAGCTATTACATACAATGCAGGAGGTTGGTTGGTTGCAATCATAAAAATGATGAAGTGTTTGTTCGAGTGCTAAAAGTATACAACTGTCCCAAAAATTAAATAAATAGGTTAACTAATTGGTAATTTGTGATGAGACCGAATTGAAAGAGGAAGAGTGTAATGGTAAATGATAATGTGAAAGATTGGAAGTAGTTACTTTTATGTGGTAATGATGATCGTGTTAAATTATGGGACAGACATCAGACACAGATGATTCGAGAGGGAGATGGTAATCTGTGTATCAATAGTTGTTCATCAAGTCTCCTCTTAAAGCTATCCCTTATGGAGCTGTGATCACTTCGGTTGAGAGAGCATCTCAAATAAAAGCAACTCATCTTGATAAAAGTGAAAGCATACCTGGATATTTGCTTTTTGGTGTGCAATATTTTAAAGTTTAACCCAAGGAGTGTGATGCTTATATTGTGGTACTGTGATCGTGTTGGGGTCGCTTGGAGTATTTAATATCTTGTGTCCGATTATGAGATCACCTATTATTCTCATGTAGCTCAGAAAGAATACTATCAGATGCGTAAATTTATCCTCCTACGATTTATGTATTTAAGCTATCAACCACTTAGTTGCTTGCCTCTTTACGTGGTCTAAGATATTTATATCACTCTGTAAGAGTAGGGACTCAACGACATTGTAGACCTCAGTGTGGGGCAATGAGCATGTTTGTAAGAGAGTTATGAGCAACTCAGCAGCGAGTACGTGTGGTGTTTGAATGAACTAATGACTCCTTTGTACTTGTTGAATGTTTGATTTCGAATTCTAAATACAGTATATTCGTTAGTTCTTGTGTAGTACTTATTGATTCAATTGCGTTATTTCTGGGATTATTAGTACATACTATAATTCAAATACTTCTAATTATCATATTGGCGTCGCGATGGAGCCTGCGTTGGAACAGTTAGATATTCATTCAACTTCTGAAGCTTTTGAGGATTATTTGGAAAGGTCTGAAAGTTGGTGCATGACCAAGAAAGATGATGAGGATATTAATATTGTGGCACATTTTCTCACATTCATTGGAAATGAAGCATACAGCTTATTGAAAACTTTGGAATATCCAGAAAAACCTATCTCACTTCCTTATGCAACTATTAAGGAGTTATTATTGAATCATGTAAAGTGCACTAGTTTTGAATGCCGTGAAAGGGCGAAATTTCATAAGATGATTCGTCAAAATGACCAAAAGGTTAGGGAATTCATCCTTGAATTGCAGAAACAAGCTGCCAAATGTAGTTTTGGTGATCAACTTCATGTGCAACTGAAAGACCGATTAATCGCAGGAATCAACATACCGGGTTTGGAAAGAAAGTTGTTAAGAATGCCGAACTGTTCCTTTCAAGATGCTAGAACTGCGTGTATTAACTACGAGGCAGTGAATGAACTTGATATCCAGTCGATGAATATTTCTAATACTTTGCTTAGTCGTCATGATGGAATAAAATCTCAGGGTCAATCAAACTTGAGTTCGTTTGACAGTGGCTCCTATTCCCGTGTAAATATGAAAAGTGTTTCAACAAGGAATTACAAAGGAAATCACAAAGGTGAGACCAAGTTTGGTAAATGTTTATCATGTGGAAAACTTCATTCTCGTGTGCATTTTGTAATGCTAAATGTTTTAGATGTGGTAAGATAGGACAAATTCAATCAGTATGCAATGCTACTGTTCATTTTGCCTCAAGTAGTACTAAATCCTGTAATTTAGATCCCAATAATTCAGCTGTTCCTAATGATCATTTATCTTTGTCTACCATTTCGAAGGGCAATACTCATATTCAAAAGCGATTATATGCATCTCTTGGTTCATGTCATGACTTTATTGTGGACACAGGCATTATAGAGTCCATTATTTCATTCAAGAACTTGAGATCTTTAGATCCTAACGTTGTGGTATTACCCATTGAGGTATCAATATGGGGATTACTGGACACAGACTGCCTATACGAGGATGTTGTGAGTTGCTAATAAGAGATGATAATTCTTCATACATACCTTGTGAGTTTTTAGTTAGCGAAACAGGACTGTCAATACTGGGCTTAAGGAATTTGAAAAGGCTTAAAGTGGAACTGTCTTTCCTAGTTTCTAAAGAAAATAATGATGCTTTACATAAAGATTTGATAGCCACGTGTGCTAAGTGCAGTGGAGGTATGAAAATTCAGCCTACAAAACTTCAAGTACAGGGTGAACCAGTCTTTCTTAAAAGACGAATAATTCCTTATGGTCTTCGAGATGCAGTACATAAAACATTAAACGATTTGTGTGCAAAAGGCATGAATGAACCGGTTCAGTCTTCAGCATGGGGTACTCCTATTGTTACGCCACTGAAATCGGACGGCAAGACTCATAGAATATGTGGTGACTATAGATTAACATTGAACTCCCGTTTGTTGAAGCAAACGTGCACGACGGTAGTCATTGGCGAGGCTCACATGTTGGTGGCCAGAGATAAATGCAGATATTTGTCGTACAGCAAACAATTGTGAAAAGTGTCATAAGTTGAAAATCAGCATTCGAAGTGGACTCCATGGTCAGTATCGTCTGGGGCCTGGCAGATAATTCATGCAGACTATTGTGGTCCGTTTATTAGCAAATACTATGCACTTGTAGTCATCGGTTCTTTTTCAAAGTGGCCTGAAGTTTTTTTACAACTTCACAAAATTCTGACTTCACAATTCAAGCATTAAGAAAGGTGTTCAGTCGAGAAGGGGTTCCAATGGTGTTAGTGACTGATAACGACTCTCATTTTGCTGCAGATGCAGTCACTACCTGGTTAAATGGTATAGGGTGCAAACATCTGTATACTGCTCCTAGACATCATTGTTCCAATGGTCAGTCAGAAAATTTTGTCAGGACGTTAAAAAGTGCTATTGATTCTATTGCCGCCTCAACATTTAATGAGATGGAGAGGAGAGTAGATACCTTTTTACTGCAATATAGAAATCTCAGACATTCGGTGACGAAAGAGACTCCATCAAAGCTTTTAAAAGGAAGAATTCTTCGGTCGAATATGAGATGTTTGGAGTCTGCAGAAGTTACATATTATCGTGGCAATGATCTTCGAATGAAGTGGAATACCCATGATGTGACATTTCTACAGTTTATGTTTCAACCGATTGTTTAATGCACATTAAACTAACATCTTATGATCCTTTGGAAGCTTAACTGAATTCTTTTCACTTTTTATGGACCTCCAGATCTTTTTATCTGCATATGTTAGTACCCCTGGGATAGTTTTATCTAACAGGTCGTTAATAAAGATTATGAATAGGAGTGGGCTTGAAATTGTTCTTTGTGAAATTTCAGACGATGAGAACTTCCAACTCGAATAAACTCTTTTACCTTGATATGTAACGTCCTTCTCACTGGGCAGTTTGGGAGCTCTCATAAAGTGGGTCAGTGAAACCAAGCTTATCAGTCTACGCTGTGAGAAGTACATGCAGTATTTCGTCAAAGACTCTTGTGAAATCGAGAAATATTACACTATGTGTTATCTCATGATCCTAGGAGCTCGGCCAGCTTATTCTTACGATGAGGAAATCTGTATTTCTCGAACTCTTGTCGAACTTCATGTAGGATGATGCTTTTATTTATTTATTTGTCAGTTGACCAGATCTTTCACTGCTTTTGACAGTATTTGAGCTGGTCTATAATGAGCTAGGCATTTTCTGTCTGAACCTCTGACATTCGGATGTCGGCTTGACTTCGTTCTATTAAAAACTTTTGTGAATCCAGTGAACACGCGGACAGATCTCATGGTGGTGTTCCAATGACTTCGTGCACTGTTTAAGGACCACAGAGCCAATGTTGTTGCATTCTTATGATTTTCCTTAAAGCAATGATTTTCGTACTTTTAATAATGACTCGGAGGTTAGTTGGATACTACCCGGACCCCCAACTGGCACTTTAGTCGTGAAGTATTTCGTGCAGTTGACTGGATTAACCGTTCCATGCATGATTCTATCGCTTCGAATAATTTTTATAATGTGTTATGGTGTGGTTTTAAAGCGACTGTTAATCTGTTATCATTCCACTTCCTGTCTTCTATACTATACCGTATCTGAAAGTTATCGCGCCTTGCAAACTCATTTCTTCCTCCATGATGTCGGGCAACAGCCATGTTTCAGATACGAATATAATCTTCAGATTTAGCAGGAAGCGCATATTTCTTATTTCTCATAGTTTACTCTTTAGCCCTCCTATGTTGTTATAGATGCGCTTGATGGTTTATCTCATTACTTGGTTCTTCTGATTTTTCAGCAGGTTGTTGTCTGAATATGTCAGTCAGTTTTGTGCAAACTGGCCGTGGAGTGCTATGTGCTTGTATAACGTGCCCTTAAAATGAACTTGTGGTATTTGTTTTCTAGCCCATGAATTGCCGATCGATATCAACCAACACTAAGATGTGGTTTAGTGGGCTCTTCTTTTTATTCCTTACCAATCTACGTTGACTTCCAAAACATCTAATATGACTGAAATGGTCGTATTTAGAGCTGAACTTGGTATGAAAGGACTCGGTCGTTCCCTTGGCTCTTAGGACCACAGTTATCAAAATTGATAGCCTAATGTTTGTGAGGTGTATCGGACGAAGTAGCCTGAACGAGCTGATTTCCATAGTGGAGGGAGTGCTCATACTTCTTGACTGCATATTTAGTTCGTGAGATTCATCCTGGCTATCACCCGCTCACTCGAACACTTTATGAATTATTATCTTGGTCGGTTCTTAAATTCTTTCTGGTCCCCTAGTCACATTTATTATGGCCAACGGTTTGCTTTTTCTATTTCGGATTTGATAGGGTCACTGAACTTATGATCTCTGTGACGTCAACAAAATTTCTTTCATAACGTTTGCACAATCTATAATTACACCTAATGGAGTGATTTACCGTTCGGTTTTTTCGGCACCTATACAAGAGAAAACAGTTGGCAGATTCCCGTTGTGACTTGTAAACGATTGATAATTATTTCACCAAGTACCATGACGATAAAGAACTTTGATATCACGATTGTAATAGGAATAATTCAAAATTCAAATAAAATCAATGATAAAATCAATCATTATGACATTGAAAAGATTTATCCACATAGTCAGTTATTGACTACGTAATGATCGGTACTTTTAAAATAAAATCATCTAAACCCTAATGTCAAAACTATTGCAAGTGAAATAGTTAATTCAGATATTGGTTTTATTTGTTTCCGAGGATAAATGGATCCGAATGACCAGTCATAGTGTTCTCATTACACATCGTCTTATTAGGGGTTATGAATCGAGGACAGATATAATAATGACAGACACGACATATACATTCAAAGGGACCGATGTGAAGTCAACAAGTGTTTATTTATGTTTACTGGTTGATAGAACGAGTTAGAGACATGCTATTTGTGGTTGAAAGTAAGCGGTTGTTAGTCTTTTTCCACCCTGGTGACACAAAAGTTTCTTCAATGTAAAAAATTGATTGAACTCTTTGTTAATATTGTTTATTTTATTACGCCTTATTTCGATACTCAGATCGTTAAAGCTATTTTAACTCATGAAGCTTCTCTAATTGTTTTCTTACTATTGTTCCTTTCGTAACAATATCCTTTTAGCTCTCTGCTTCTTTATGAGAACTAATGTTGTAGAATGTTTCTACATATCACAAATTATATTGAATTAATTTTTTTATTCTCCCAAACGAAATAAGACGCATTACGCTAAACTGATGTACATTCAGAACTTCACCCAACTAAATTCATATATGAAGGTATTTTAACCCATTAGGTAGTTGTGATGTTTGGATAATATAAGTTACAAGTAAATGTCAAGAACCCAATGAAATGAAAAAGGAAATTGTTGTCTTGTCTATGCCTTTGTCCTCAAACCAGTCAAGACGATGAGCTGAACTGCGTTATTCTTATATGAGACCATCACGTTTTTTTCGAAACTTGTGTCGTCAGATGAAAATATAACTGCATTTGACAGGACAATTTATTGGTATAAGAACAATACTAGATTTTTTTTATTCTGTTACAATTTTGTGATACTTTTTCTTCAACTATCCCTGATTCGTTAATTATACAAAATGATTCAGATATCTAGTTAGTTCTGTACGAAGCAAAAAGAAACAGAAACTTATGACCATTGGGATAGAGTAATCGAGAGTATATATTTGTTGCCTAGTGTGACATGACTTGAATTAGACCGTCACGCTATTACATTTGGTTTATTTGAACTCACCATCCAAGTGCAATCATGAAGCCCGTGGCTAATTATCCCCTCCATGAATATTCAACTTCAAGTATGATACGATAATCTAAAACAGCAAATGTGTCTTCATCCACAAAATGATAAATTGCAAGTATGGATTCGCAATTACAAAAGGCTAGTATGTGTTGATATCAGGAGTTATATCCTAATACTCATATGCAAAATATTAACTTTCATTATCACACACAAGTAAACCAACAACTCGATGACATAAATCAAAATATTCTCAACCGTTTATGGTGAGTACAAACAATAAAACGGTACAATAACTAGAATGCTGCTATAACACAACGAGAGACTAGTACAATCTCAGTCCAGTTACACGACCTGATGAGCATAACCGGTATACCATAAATATTGATTTATCACATAATGAAATCACGTGATTCACCATGAGACCGTTCAATGAAAAGTTAGGTGCTTGTTCCGCAATATCGAAAACACTGTAGTTCATGGACTATTGTGACCGTGTTCAAATAAGGTGGAAGAATAAGGCACCCAAGAATCGACTTAGTTTTCAGTCAGCAAGAGAGTCGACAACTAATCAATGTGACACGCTATACACTTAAAAGTCACTACACTACTGAATTAAACATACTGAGTACTGACATAGTCACTCCGATGGTATTATAAAAAGAAGGCAGAATATAATGTGATATCATGACTTATAAAATTTTTATTACTTTTGTCACTACATGCTTCATTTATTTTCCGGTTAAATGTGGGAGTGAATAATTAAAAGACTCTTCATTCTTCTACGATAATGATCAAGTGTCTGTACTTTTCAGTGTCGTCTTTTTAATTATTGAATTTGTTTGTATACATCGAGTTTACGTATTGAAGTTGTACGCGGGATGTCGAATTTTCGTCGGAATATTTAAAGTTCACGATATCCAGGTCAGACGTACTCATTCTTAGTGGTAATTTCGTTAGTGTCCGAATACTGACCTTTTTTATATTTCACCTTTGTTTCATTTAGCTTCAATTGCTTGTCGTTATATAGCGGAATGAACTACTTCTAATTTAGTTGTTTACTGATCTACATTACCATGATGCTACAGTGTCTAGTAGTGTTGTTGCATTGTCCTTGAAATATCCGGTTGTTTTCCTAATATATTAAGCTGAAAATGAGTCCAACAGTTGATTGTTTGGAGTGTAAGTGACCTACAAACTGGTGTGCTCTGATAGAATCATGTTTCTTTAAGTCAATATTCTATGTATGTTTATCTTTTTACGTAAACAACAACCACACAGTCACGTATAGTTGCGTTTAACTCCTGAAGATGCACCCAAAGGGTTATCCTGATGTGTCAGAACCAGCTAGTAAACACCATTGGTGTTAGATGTATGTTGTTGGGAGCTGGCCATTCATTTAATCAAATGGCGAACCGTTGCCAGTTATATTGGTTAAGATGTGCTACAGAAGTCCCTCTTGGTCCACAGGCAACTACGATCTGACATCGTTATATCGTTTTCGCTAGTGTTTTTTATTCTTAACCGTTAGTCTTGACAACCACCAACTTCAGTCATTAGTAGAGAGATCATGTGACATAGCAAGCCCCTAAGGTAACTCGACGATAGGCAAAATAAACCAGGTTACTATCATTGTTGAAAAGGTTCATTTGAAGACTAAACCTTGTTCCGAAGCACATGTTTAAATTCTGATGATGCTTTGATGCAAAGATGCGTCTGCTTGCGTCTTACTGGACCCATAAAATTCATAGCAGAAAGAACTTAGAATTCATTCACAGAAGAATAATCAAAATCACCTCTCAGGAATACCATTATAAATGCCTAGTCGACCATTAAAGGGATGTTCACCCTGATCCAGTTTGGTTTGATACCGAATCAGCTGCAAAAATAGTGCCATATATTAGTGACTTAAGCAAAAAGGCCAGGTGAATCAGTGAATTTCGGTGGGATCTGAATTTATAAAAATCCTATCAGACCCCAAACACAATGAAAACTTAAACATATACTAACAAGGGTTCTACTTAGTGAAAAAAAGTATTGTCCACACTACTGCAAATCAAAACGATATGAAGAAACTTTTAAGGAACGGTTCAACTGACCCCCATCTACCCTATGGTTACCTGCTATTACCAAACAATCTGGGAGGTCGGGTTCGGCCTTCATCTGTAATCATTGTAGGAAGTAATGTAGTTGCGCGTGTTGACCACTTCACTTAGGAATTTCATTAGTTCCGGTGGATTAGCATTTGATAAAATCTCCACGGATTCAGAAGACTTGCTTGGCGTTTGCAAACTTGCGTCACTTGCAGTGGGTAATCTAGATTTCCGTCTACTAACAGATTTTTGAACACAATCTTCATCCGCCTACTGTGTTTTACTTAGTGTATGTGAAACGGTCTTTAAAAGTAAGTAGTGAGTTACTAGTCTAGGGTCATAGGTGTCGGAAGTATTTATCATTTTTGTTAGGACTACCAAGTGGCCAATGTTAAGGTTATGCGTGGAGTGCTTGACTTATATGTCAAGTCGGTTGATGTTTTGAACCTCATATTATCTGAAGAGTTTACAAGAACTACTACGTATCCTTTACTTTGCTTACCTAAACGCCCAATGTTTGATGAGTTGGAAATACGTTAGAAGTTAGGGGCTCTCAGACCAAGAGTATGAACTGATTGGCTGTTGATCTGAGCCATATTGGTAGTTACGGAAGTTTTGGTCCGAACGATCATTTTGACCATTTTTCGGAAACGTGGGGTGACGTGACCCGAAATCAGACGCAAATGGGCTCATTCTCGGGCTAATGTAGTTTGGTAACTCGAACCAGTTCATGTTTCTGCCTGAATCTGCGTCGCGTTGATTCCCCTCCATTGTAAAGGGGGATGAGTTAGACCAGTTTGGTTTTGTCTAAGATTTCTTTTTCTACTTGTTTTTTCTATAATGCTACAATTGTACGTAGTTTTTCAAGCCACCGATTGCAATCCTTCACTGTTACCCAACCAGCAGTATAGAATAACAGTATCAAAGTTTTACTGAGAGATAATTTTTTACTTGAATGGATTAGTCTCAGAATTATAATTTGAAAAACTGGTCAATATGCTTCAGTTTATGCAAAAGGATCTCTATTTTAACGACAACTGTCAGAATAGCTTTTACTTTCCAGAGCGGTTTCGTATAGAGTACTACCACCATAATGTTGATTTTCGTACTTTTCTGTCTTCAGTTACCTTATATATGTGTGCTAAATTTTAAGTACCATCCTTTAGTTACTTAATAACGTGAAAAATACTGTTTTGATATATTTTTCTTTTTTATTTCGTATTTATTTAGACTTAAATATGCCTCGTAACTTCAGTCTTCAACCCGAAAGAAAGAGCCGTATGACTGGAATCCCTTCTAATATCAAAGCAAGGTAGATTGTTTGTTATTCATTAGCTAAACAACATTCAGGACTTCATCTGTTGGTCCACAGGAACAAAAACCTGTTAACCGCGAGGTTAAATCTAAAGCAAATATCACTAAGATGATAGGAAGTTTAATCCAGGTAAACTATGTTCTGACAGGCTTAACTTTCATTTGACTTTAGTTTCTGGAAACCACCGACTATTCGAATTCCCTTTCTCCCAAAATCCTCCATTCACCCAACTCAAAAGAAATATTTTCAATATTCGAACATCTTGTTCGACAAATTGAACCCTCCTTTCGTATTGAAAACGGCGGAATGAAAGCGGAAGAAGTTTGTCTAAAGTAAGAATAATTTTCTATAAAAACAAACAGCATAATCCTTGGTTCTTCTGTAGTTATCTTAAAATTCTAGGCTATCCAAATAATCTTAGTAAGCTTCATTTATTAGTACCTGGTGCTCCTCAATCCTGGAATTCAGTTTTAGCGGCGTTCGACTGGTTAAGAGAAGAAACAGAAAATGCAAATGACGTAATCATTTCATTATTGGTCATCTTTATATTCATCTGTGTTTAGGCTATAAATTTTTCGGTGTTCACGTATGATGATGATCAAGATACTGAAGAAGAGCCGCTGAATAAAATTATTTTTCAATTGAAGTCAGTTATTTTTAAGAGAAGACGCGAAGGCTTTGATATATTTCCAGTTGATATTGAAGTATGTCGGTGTTTCACCTTTTGTAACAGATGTTTTTTCTCTGTATCCGATTTACCTCTGTCAAATATCCATTGAAAACCAGAAAATATTAAGCAGCCCTGTGGTCCTACTATGTGACTCCTGGACTCAATCAATGGTAGGGCCATGGATACATACTGTCAGTTAGTCCCATACTGTGAGGATACAGTCGTCGAATGTTTCCTAATTTGTAGCAGTTTTCTAAAGTCACTATGATGTAAACTAAAATTCAACAATCCTCACAAACTCACTTTCCATACTGATATGTTTTACTTTACTGTGCCTCTAATCAAACTGGTTTGGTATCATCAAGTCACTATTAGATTATCGAAAAATATGAATTTGTGTACCTGTTTAGTTCAGTATTAGTGGTGATTTGAATGTATATGTGAACTGAAAATCGTCAATTCTGACGTATTGATAATGAAGTTGTAAAGAATTCCAACCAACTTATGGAAGTTATCGATAGTATAGCATGTTCTTAGTAAATTTTCATGAACTGGCATTCATTATGATTCGGTTAGGTTTTGATGACAATGTTTTTCAATTTATTTCATTAACTTTGTGCTTTTCTGTTTAAGAGTCGGTCTTATTTCTATGTTGTAACATTCTCCTAATCATCAAGTAAGTCTTCAATCGTCTATTGTATGAGAAGAAAGTTTACTCAGTTAAACCGAGTCAAATGCAAAAGTATATATATATATATATATATATATATATATATATATATATACTCATTTTTTGACCAGTAACACGCGCTTGTAGTCAGGGTCACAAGGTGGCCTCATTTGGCAAATGTGGATTGGCTCACTGTATCACCTTTCGCTACTCAAAAATAGGTTCGGTATCTGTTTAATAATTAATGTTATTTCTATCTTGTAACATTTGATTAGTCACCAAAGTTAGATATGTTTCAAAAGTGCCAAGTGGTATATATAGCTCAGTTCTTTCAACATCAAACTATTGACATTGATACCGCCGATCAACAGTACAACAAAAAACCATATCAAAAGCGTAGGAACGTAAATAACATCGGTATTGGTCACAAACTAAACACTATGAGTGTAGTTTTGAAGCGCTAAAACGAGTTGATGAAGAAAGTTTAAAATAATAATGAAACTCAAAATTTCACGGATGAGAAACAATTGTGCACCTGTATCACTGTGAGTGATTCGGATTTGTGTCGCCTAACGACTTACCGTTGACTGCAATTATCGATTGGATCCAAAGCTTTCAAATCCCTCCAGTTAATAATGAATTCATGGGTTGGTCCTGTGTCTAGGCTTGACCATTCTCATTTATTCCCTATCTACTCCCACTCTGGATAACATTGTGCGTCTAGATGGTTGGTGAATGGACTTGGTTCGACTCTTGGTCAATATTATCCCACAACCTTATAAACAGATATACCGTCTTTACTTAATGCACTAAGTTAAATTTTAGGATTCAAGGTTTTGTGTGAAAATTATCTTCTTTTGCAACCTGAGACTGAACATTCATGTTATAACCTGGATTCCATCCAAGGTAAATGAAATAAATTTTAAATGCATTCTTACCTCCACTTGTCTGAGAAAATGGTTCTTATTTTCGAAAAAATGGCTTTGTTTTTTTTTCATTAAGGATTATCGTTGTCGTATCAACAGAGTATTGAACGCTCCAAGTGAAGATGATATGAAGAAACTTTATAATCGTCTAAATGAAATGGATAAAGATATGAATAGTATAAATAATGTAGACGGAGAAGAAAGATCATTAAGAACTCAATTAACCGAAACGGAATCCAGTCTAAAATCACTAGACGAAAACTTACGTGACCATGAATCTCAGATAGCTAAGTTAAAGGTACATTTTTATTTTCCTTCAAAGTACTGTTATATGTGAATTGTTCCTTACAAGGCACCTAGTCAGTTCTTATCACTTGGAAAGTTGACCTAATAGGCATAACAATTGACTCTCAGTTATTAAGTCTCAGTTTCTAAAACCCTCTGCCTATTTACTCTCCTCCAACTGGCTACTACTACCAGCAGGGTCACCTAGCCTCACTGTCTAAGACGTTACCTCTAAGATACTCAAACTGTTACTGATATTTACATAGATGGGGCAATTGTTAGTAACCAAAGTCATGCTTATCTAGTCCTTATTTCTGATTCTATCTTCAAGATCAAGATTTTAATAACAGCTATTGATCAGAATGTTCCAGTTAACTCTTCGTACAGAAACCGCAATGTTTTAGTAAAATACATTCTTATATAAGTTTTGTGTCTATAGTAATCTGATACCTAAAAAATTATTTAATAGTGTCATCAAGCCATTTCTCATCTTTCAAATACTCGTAAATTTAAATGGTATATTTAGTAGCATGATTTACTTACGTTTTCAGTACTACTTGGTGACAAATGTCATACTAGAAGTTATGGAAATCCGTTCCAGTCATAATAGATTTGTGACTTAGTGATATCGACATTAGTCTATTACCTATTGAGTCCCTGGTTTCAGTCCACGATTACCGATTCTACCTGAGCTGTTTGATTGTAATATTGGTTATCGTGCGATCGTTTTTACTCAGAAGTTACTACACTTAAAATCAACATAGTAGTATGACTGACTAAGTGGTTTAGATACCTGATCTTCAAGTATGTTTATCCACTGTACCAAATAATGCTCTCTATTTCTGAGATTTTTGAACAACAAGGTGTTAAATCTTGCTAATCCGACCTTCATTGCTTAGTATTCTTCTGACACTACTCCATCCGACTACTCCCCAGAATCAGTACATTTCTTGGACAAAAACGTTTTATGTTCCCAAACAAGGAAGTGAGTTAACTAAGTCGAAGTTGCAGTCAGGAAAATCCCAGTATATTTATAGTTTATACACCGAAAGGCTCTACTCCTTGCCTATTTACTACCGCTGATCGGCTCAGTTTTAAGCCAATAAGCGCGATCCCGGCACAAACATGCCTTATTCAAATGAGTGACCTACCAACAAAAGGTTATATCCTTAGCTGTCATTTGAAAAATATGGCTCCTGATCTGATTCATCGATAGACTCTTCCTTGGTTTTTGGTTTGTATTAACCATATTTTACTGTATTAATACGTGGTTCCTTTATTAAGTAAAAAGCACATTTTCAACTCATCTTTGTATATTGACTTTACTCTAATTTCGTGTTAAATGTGTGGCAATTAACAAAATGTTTATGCATGTAATAGAAAATATGCTTTTCGATAGTCTTTAGACGAAGAGCGCACAAAAGTTTTAGAGGAACTTGAATTAAAAATCAAAGAAGCAGAACAACAGTTGGCTACAGTACGTGCAAAAGTAAAGGAACAAGAAGATGCTGGGTATGTTTTCGTTTCTCAATAAATATATTATTTATGGTTTATCTACTGAGTAGAAATGTTTACATTCAACTTCCAACTTCTGCCCGCTCACTGCTTACAAATTGAAATAGGTGGTACGGTATTACAGACTGTCACCCAGTTATTTTGACGCCAAATGTTGGGACGACTAAGTCTCAATTGCACACTACATAATATTTGTGCCTAGAATATCGGAATATTTTTTATATTTTTTAGACTAACCACTCGTAAATTTTGTTAAATCTACCAACCATACTTGTATCCATTTTTTGCAAGTTTTCGAATAAAAATCGTTCGACTTAACTTTTTAAAGTGATTATTTTAAACCATATAAATAGTTACTACTTACTTTACTACCTGTTAAAAGGTGTCTAACTGTTGTTCACATTGATTTTTCCCTCTAGTTATCTTATTATGAACGAAGAAGGTTCATTGGTTTTAAATTTCACTATTCCTTCATAGGTACATCATCCTATCGTTTCGAACTATATTTTCTATGCTTCTTCTTTTTCATTACTATTGCAAGTACATTATTTCGATCTTTTTTTGTTATTAATTTTTTGCTAATATCTTGTTTAACTTCATCATAGACCTACTAATCGAAATAACGTTCTCGTCGACTGAATTCTCGGGTATTGATCTCCTTCCAGGAGGTCCACTTATCGACTTAGAATACGCAGATGGCATAGTCCTGTTTGATGAAGACGCTGATAAAATACAGAGTCTATTGGTACACTAGGCAACAATGTCAGAATGTTTGGAATGCGCTTCTCTCCCTCTAAATACAAGTTGTTGCTTCAGGACTGATCTGCATCAACACCTGAACTAAGGATAGAGAGTGAAATAGTCGACCGCGTTGACAACTTCACATATCTTGGAAGTCTGATCAGTCCTAATGGGTTGATGTCTGACGAAATCTCTGCATGGATTCAGGAAGCTCGTTTGGCTTTTGCCAACTTACGTCACCTATGGCGAAGGCAAGATATCCGTCTATCAATTAAGGGACGAGTATACTGCGCGGCAGTTCGTTCCGTTCTACTATACGGCTGCAAAACATGGTCATTAAGAGTAGAAGATACTCGTAAGCTACTAGTATTTGACCATAGATGGTTTAGAAATATTGCTGGCATCTGCTGGTATCACCGGGTAAGTAATATTGAGGTTAGAGGCAGGGTATTAGGGAATGATGGTAAATCAGTTGATGAGATTGTGAATCTTCATCGACTGAGATGGTTGAGCCACGTGTTACGTATGCCTGAACTCCGATTACCACGACACGCAGTGCTGATTAGTGTTGGGGATGGCTGGAAGAAAGTTATGGGCGGCCAAACCAAAACATAATATCGGTTCTTGAAGTCACTAACTTCTATTGTGAGCCATGTTGGTAGATGCAGACTACTTGGTTGGGGTCCGTGTGACTATCATAACCAATGGTTGTAGACTCGATCGATCACAATGGCGTCGGTGTATACACTCTATGTCTTCTCTTAAACCGTGAGATTAAAATTGCTTTATATTTTTCTTTCTACGAACGAATTCTTTCTTTTATATATTACCACCATTGACTTAACTACTCCTATGAATCTGGTGTTGTGGCAACTTGGACCGATGCATATATGTGCCTGGTCCTACGTTGTAGCTGACTGACTGACCGCTAATATCTTATGATAACTTCGTGGGTCGGTACATGTTTTTTTTAGGCTCTACGTTGATCATGTCTGACTAATTATAGAACGAATTAAATTCAAAAAGCTTTAAACAGGTGTTTGATTATCCTTTAAAGTTAATTAGCAGTCCGTATCCACGACGACATAAATGATTAAATGTTAAAATATCAAATATCATATTCTATTGAGTCCCATTCCAATCGTTCACACTTCAACGTAGTTAAGAACAACGAAGTGTTTACCAAAGACATTAATATTTTTTAGGTATGTTATATTATGAATTAATCGAAGTATTAAAATGTTTTATTGTTGTGCTGAAAGCTAACTTCATCAGATTCAATCAATTAAGATGCATAACTCGTAGTTGAAATATGATAGTAAATTCCTTATGACAAATTATCAGGTTCGTTAAATACATGTATTTGATCACTGCTTACAAATGTCAATATCTTTAAAGAACTTGTTAACCAAGTACAAGTTTATGTACTTGACTTTGAGTTTCAGTTTTTTTGTGAGGTGGCTAATAATAATAACAAGATACTAAAACTGAAATAATTGTTGTGGTTTTGTAGAACTCACCTACTAGTTAAAAACTGAGCGTTTTAACTACTAACAATATGTATTGAACGAATTTGACCTTTCTTCACTAATTTTCAACACAAAAATTTTTAAATAGTGAAAGAGAAACGACATTGAACTTAACCATTAAAATATAAGCATAAATTTTACCACATAAGTATTCAAAGTAATACGGATGAGAAACCAAGTGTTATTGTATTTTCTATCTGCCCAGTCTTTCTCCTAAAGTATTCTTTCCTTTCTAGTTATGGACGATTAGCTCAGGAATATATTATGCTTCGGGAACGTGTCGATGCTCGATTGCATGCTAAAGATGATTTGATTAAAGAAGTTGAACGAAAAGAATTGGATTATACACGTTCAGAAGGCACCATTGCCCCTACTTTGGACGCTTATAATCGTCTTGTCGGATCATTAAGGGTCTGTACTAATTTATTTATTGTTTAAAAAAATATATGCATATGTTCTAGAAAGACAGTACCTACCACTCCAATTTATTTAATTTGAGAGCGGTGTGTTAAGATTAAATAGTTAAGGCACTTTCATAATGTAGCGAATAGATTGTAGCATAAATCTATCGGACAAATATTCATTCATGTAATTTTTGATATTCAGTTGAGCTATCAGTGTGCGTAATCTTTTAGTAGCTTAAATAAATTAACAATGGCATCTCTAACCGTAGAGCTGTGTGATTATTATTATATTATTTCGTGACTTACTAGTTTCCATGATCGTTTTGTATTCGTTCCTGGTACCTATTTTACTTTCAGTTTCTAGATTGATATTTGTATGTAAGGATGAAGATTTTATATTGTATATTTATTCTGGTCTTATATATTTAGCGATGAATATTTCAGTGCATAGTAGCCATTGCTTTTTCAACGGATTTGTTGATACTTTATGCCTAAGCTATGATTCTACATTTTATTTCTGTACGCATAATCTACTGATAATCTTCCTAGTATATTTTTTTGAAAATTAAGAAATTCACAGTTTATAACACAGTCTGACCTTAGTTAGATAACTTTCAAAACCAGAAAACACTGAACAGCCTTTTCGTCCTACTGTGGATTTAATCACTATCGCGGTCGTAGACCAATACTGACGGAGTCCTTTTTTAGGGAGAAACAGATGTTTGTTGTTTTTCTGTATAAATATCCTCGTTTTCCACTAACAATTCTACTATTTATCATAACAATTTTAACTCTTTCTGAAGTAATCTGTTAACTTCAACGAATGTATCAGGTTCTACTTTACGTATAATTATAACCATAATGTCGTTAGTTTTTTGTCATTAGACTTTTTAGTTTCCAATGGATCTATCGTAAATCTTACACACTTATTGATCCTTTACAGAAACCACCGTTTTCACAGATCACCAAAAGCTGTAATTTGGAAGTTTGTACATACCGCAAAGGATTCGATATTGCTAAGCAATTACCATTGCTAGTTCAAAATGTGAAGGCTTGTGTTGAACAATTGACTTTGGCTTTGACTTCTAAAGAACAACGACTAAGTGAATTGATTGAACATCTCGAAACTCTTCAATCGTCAATCGATAGTTCAGTAAGTTTTGTAAATTTCCGTGTATATATATACATATATGCTTGTGTTTCCCTTCATCACTTCAGTAGGTTCGACTTTTTTCGTTTCTATGATGATTACTCTATCCAACGAATGCGCAAACTAAGGTTATAAAAATATTTTGCAAATTTTGAACTGTCAATTATATTCGTTTTCGAGTACTCTTCATCTTTGTTTTCATTGTCCCAAATATTTCTGAAATTCCTCGGAATCTGGACCCTTTAGTAGTCTCGTTTTGTGTACCAGAAGAATCGTATACACCGATTATTTTCCGAAATTTGTTCTATCGACAGTAAATCAACTGCGTTTGTTCGATATTTTCATCAACTCAAGAGGTTGACAGTCATTTCAGCCTTTCCTTCTTCATTGTCTTCACAGAAATTTCTGACTCAATTGAGTAGTTTTTTCTTCAGCACATTAATGATAATAAACATATGTATTAAAATTTATTTACATTGGCAATTCTTAACAGATTTTTGTTTGAATATTATTTATTTCTTATCAGGAACTGCCAGATGTACAAGCTAAACTGGATGAAGTAAAAATAGATTTGGCTAAACTAGATGAACTTTTGGCAGAAGAATACAGTGCACATGCAAAAGCAGAAGAAGAATATGTTAATTTATGTTCTCACAGAGCCAAAGAATTAGAACAGTTAAAAAAACAGTTAACTGATGATGAACAACGTCAGACGGAGTTAAGCGTATGTTGCGTACTTGTAACTTTACTTGATGACAACTATGTTTATTTTTATAGCTTATGTAATGGATTTAACCCTATTTGGATAACCGCTTAAAACTGGAGATCATTGAACAGTTCTTTTGTCTCAGTATGGGACCTCTCAACAGTATGCATTCACAATCTCATGTTAGTTTAAACTCAGAAGCTCAAGGTCTCGTGACTTTGTCTTAACATCTAGACTACGGAGCCGGTATCCAATAGTTTACTTGTCTAACTCCAGTGAATTCACGATACTGTGTAACCACGTCTAATGTTACTGGTGGGTGACTGTTTCACATTTGACATGGTTAAACTCCACTGGTCATGGCTTTTCACTAGAACTGTTAGTTCATTTTTACTAAATATGAGTTTACTGTATCTATAAAATATGCTGACTGCAGTGTTCTATTTTTTTCCTTGTAGCCTTAAAATGCTTATATTTGCGTATTTAACTAAAATCCTGGAACACGGGATTAATAACTCATAAACCAAACGAGAGATGGACAATATTGGACAAGATTTTACTTTCTAAAGAAAGAGAGAAGAAATATAACTTTTTAAGGGGAAACGATAAGTATTTATGCGTTGCACATAAATTCTCGATTCGCTTTTGTCAATAAAAGCTTCTTACTCTTGGTTTCCTCGCTGAGTTAGCTGGTTTGGACTCGTGTGTCGGAAGCTTGTATATCTATCAGATTCTAGCGACAACACAGCATAACAAATTCACTTGTGATACCTCCTAATTTTAATTAACGAATTTTGAATTCAGTAGTAGATAAAACATTTTAACTTGTGTTATGTTCTCTGAGGTACCTGAATAATTTAGTTGTGTGAAGCTTTCATTGTCTTTTTAAAAGACATCAGTAGCAGCGCATATTTCACAAAAAATGCCAACTAATTGGGATTTCCTCCCAACTAATTAATAGCTTGTTTTGTTGACCAGGAATTTGATGGGTCGTTGTCATTGTTCGTGATTCTGTGGCTGTTGTTTGTATGTTTGTTTTGATGGTGGGGAACTCTTAAAACATAAAATATCCACTTGTCAATTTTCTCTGTTAGATCACCATTCCATGATGAAATCTTGTGGGTAGCTACTTTCTATAATAACTCTATTGAATATCTCTTTCCATTTCTCTGTGTAGTATCTGTACTAAAATGGGTCTGAATATAGCTTAATTTAGTAATCGATCGGTTGTTGCTGTTTTGACCAAAGATCGAAACAGTATTCACACAATTATGGACAAAAAAACATTTATGATATATGTATGAAAGATTATATTTGAAGTATTCTCAGCGGTTGAAATTTAAATAATTCCAACATTTCGTCCAGAGGAAACGTTGGGATTATTTAAATTTCAATCGCTGAGAATATTTCAAATATAATTTTTCACATTTAATAACTTCTCTATACTCGGCGCCTAATTTCTATCAAACTATTCGTTCTAATCTTGACGAATATTCGTATACATTTATGATTTATTTCAACAAAACTAATTGTTAGTGATCTATTGTGAGATCCTAGTAACTCTGTTCTTTCTGAAGTATGTGCTGATAATGATGTTCTCTAGAAAAGCACTGAGAGCTTCACGACCCAACCATCCAGCTCAAAGTTCTGAACATACCGTCAATAACCTCATCCTTAGCTATAAATATTCTACGTCATTTTAGTGAATAACGGTAGATTTCATAATCTTTTAGTTATCACAACTACTTACATAAGAATAAGGATAGCAACTACAATTAAATCTGAATACAAATTTTTTTGTTATTAATAACATGTAATTAATAAAACTGAGGGAATGCAAATCAGATTACTGGAAAAATTACGTGAGATTAAAGTTAGAAACTAAAGTTAAACAAAATTTCTCAGTGAGTTTAGATGTCCTACTGTACTCGTAGTGTAAATGTACCTTAAACAGCATCGAAGTTCCAAATCATAACAACTGATTTCAATCTTCAATTAATCATACAAAATGTACTGAATTCAATGTGTTTTAGATTTGAATAATACTTGGTATACTCTTTTGATTCATCGACAACAATTGTGCCAGCTACGCCTGTTTATTATATTAGGAATATTTTGTTTAATCCCTCATTGTAGAATATAGCTAGGAAATATGTCTCATTCAAATATTCTCTTTCTAAACATTGAGCTAATAAGGTTTTAAAAATCAACCCATAAGAAATCAGCTTGTAATTATCTTTATTACAGGTTTTTATAAGATCTACATATATGACGTTGTGAAAGATGGCTTAAATTTTCTTATGGAGATTTTCATTGAAAGTGATTATCTTAGTAAACTTCATCTCAAAACTATTAGTTTGAAAACCGGCAAATTTCTTTCACTGTTGACACTTCATGTACTTTGCAGTTCAGTACATATTTATTTACGAAAAGTCGACTGTCCTATTTCCGTAAATGGAGTTTTTTCCCAGCTAAGGTCTGAATAATTTATTTACTATAAGCCTGTAATATGCTGTGCTTTTTTGTTCATCTACCAGTTCACTTACTGTCGTAGGTTATTTGAAGTTGTTTACTTTGCTTAATGTTGACCTATTTTAGTTATAGAAAGGATAGGATAGTTCCGTTGATTAACTTTTACATGCATTATCGATATTATTACTGATGATTATTTTGTAAAATGAAGTATTATTTGTTTTTGTAGGGTAAACTTGAAGAAATAATTCAGGAAAGAGTTAAAATCACCTCTTATATTGAAAATATTAATCAACAATTATCAGTGTTTGTTCCTTACATTGAGGTAATTTTAAAGTATTAACCGTAGAAATCTTTTTATATGTAATGAAACTTTGTACTTATAGTTCAGATGCTAATGTTATCTACTTCGGCTTTACCATTCAAATGATATCTTCAATCTTTAAAGCAATTAGTCCCTTTTATAAATTTCGATAGAACAACTCCGTCTTATCATTGATCTTCAATCTTCTCATACAGAAATTCCGTTTAATACTCAGTACATTTGATTATTAAGTTATGTTTATCAACATTTTAGTCTCATTTTGTGTGTAAACGTTTCTGTCTATATAAATATTATATCCACTTTTTCTAGACCGAAATAAATTATGATATCGCACCCCTTAAACTTGTATTACAATGATTTTAAAATTTAGATCGGTGGTTTTTAAGATGTGATACATTTCTAAGGCCTTCTTTATTAAGCACTTAGTACACTCAGTCGTAAGCACTATTTTTTTATTTTATGACGCGAACCGTAGTATAGTATAAATGTATATGGAAATGTACCACTATTTCGCGTAACACTTTTTTGAATTTGGATATAACTTCAAGGGAAATAAGATGGTATTTTATTTGGTTAGGCGACGTGATCGGTCAGCTAGCGTATATAGTCAGTGTTTACTATGTTCCTAATTGAGCTATCATATTTAAACTATCTAACTTAGGGTGTATAATATGATAGTGTACAGAAGTAATGTTGACATCTATTTATTGTTAAAAATTTTAATCATAAAATTAAAGTTCCAATAAAAATTGTAGACTCATCTTGTTAATATCTGAAAATTCTAATGTCCTTCATTACTAAACTGTTGTTCAATGTGGTAGTTCCAAGCATTAGCGCTGTAACATTCGAGTAACAGCTGGTGATCGCTAGGATTATTGAGTTCATTATAGAAGGTATTGAGTGACAATTGTCCAAGTATATGTTGGTTTTTCTGTCTCATCACATGTAAGTTTTATTTGTTATACTCCTTTTTACAAAAGGAAATAACGTTTTTAAAATATTTTAGGACAATTTTCTGCTTTGTTTTTTTTTCAATTTTATTCATCAGCTACTATGCACATTTCGTTTACTGTATTGTACTGAACTCGGTCAGTATAATCAATATAAGATTTGAAATTATAAAGCTTTTGTTTTGTAACAACTATGGTTTATCTTTATTCTGACTGTTGAAAACATCCCTAAAGTCAGGCCCTTCAGCTTGCTCACTTACGCCTATTACCTCCAATGGAGTATAGGCGGACGACTAGCGTTCTTCGACCCAATCTCTCCTGGGCCTTCCTTTGTAGTTCTATCCAATTCTTGTTCATTATTCTCATTTTTGTCTCCATTGCTTGACCCTTCTGAAGCCTTATCGATTTCTCATTTTGTCATCGTATAATTTTCTTCATGCCCTCTTGCATTTTCGTAACAACATCTAATATATATAAAAAGGATGGTCTAATGTGGTAACTGAGTTACAAACCAAGGACTTTCGAACATTCACTATTGAGTCTTGCGGTACATATTTTGAATACAACAGCCATTCGTCAGTATCACAAAAATTCAAACGCTAAAGGACCTCCACGTGAAAGTCAACATTTATTGTCTGCCTCTGGAAAGTATTCATGGCAGATAACACCTTTGATGTTGAAAGATGTGGTAGCTCAATCTTTTGGTGTATTGAATAAACTAAATAAAATACCTATTTATTGATGTACTTAACTTGCGTGCGCCCTTAATGTACTTACTATTTGTAAGTTTTAATAATATTTTATTTTTCAATATACTGGGGAGTTGGTCATATATCTTTTCTCTTTTAGTCTTATTTCAAAACTAAGGAGTCTGCTAGTCGTACCTGGCAGATGCATATAAACATACTGCGCGAAGAAGTTCAAAGTTCAGCTCGTCGTATTGAAAGCAAAGTTAGAAAAGCACTTGAAGAAAATTCTTTATCTGAATAGCATTTTTACCAAGAGATTGACTTTTTCTTGCAACTAACTTCCATTGATTTTTGTTAATATTTCATTTTATTAAAATGTCATTGTTTTCCAATAAACCCGTTCACAATAGTGTCTTTTAGCTTATTTTAGACAAACCTAAACCTATTAGACACTAGAGGTGAACAGTTTTCGGTTCTCTTTTGTAAGTCAGGTCACTTCTCACAAAGTAGTACTTATGAAACTGTACTTTCTGTTTTTAAGATTTAACTGGTTTTGCAATATAACCATCACTAGTACGAAACTAGCAAATCTTTCACCATAGTTAAACCACCGGAGCAACTCCAGCTTGCAAAATGTTTTTTACTCATACTTTTTCCCCGTAATCGGCTACGTGACCACAGCAGATTCGTACGTATATCGCATCGTAGGATATTTACTTTAAAAGATCCTCTTAGATATGCTACAGGCATAGCGCGACACAAAGGGACAGACGGTGATCCGTAGTGTCGCGATTTCGTCTGTACACGGCGTGTCCTTATGGAATCCGACCTGTTGATCTTGAAGCTGGACGTCTACCGAGTCATTCATCCAGTTCTGTATAACAGTTGAAAACGTTTCATGGTACCGATAGTAGTGTGATGCCTCTGTAGTTCTCACATTTACTCAAATCTCTTTTCTTTGGCATCTTGAGGTATCCTTCCTCCCAGTCTCTCGACACTTCTTCTGCCTTCCAAATATTCCTGATTAGAACGTGGAACATCTTTACAATTGCCTCTATATCTAACTTCAGTCGGTATATTGTCTAGTCCTTCTGCTTTCCCGCTCTTGATTTGTCTGTTAGCCATCCTGATTTATTCCATCGTTGGTTGAGTGATATCTATAGGAAGGTTTGTGTGTGCTGCTTCGATGTCCGGTGGATTCATAGAGTTGGTCTATTCAAGAGATTCTCAACGTGTTCTGCCCATCTATCCCTCTGTCCATGAATTTCAGTGATTGGCTTGCCTTCTTTTCCTTGACTGGTCTCTCTAGCTTACTACATTTCCCTGCCAGTTTCTTCCTTGTCATATAGCTGTCTTATATTTCCTTTTCTTGCTTTTCCCGCTGTTGTTGCTAGCCCTTCCATGTATTTATGCTTGTCGACTCTAATGCTTCTCTTTACTTACTTGTTTGCTTCTGCGTATTCAGCTTTTGCCCTGACTTTTTCTGTTCTTGTTCGGCTGTTATAAATCGCCGTCCTTTTACTCTTCTTTTTTATGAATCCTGTCCGGGGTTGCCATGGAGATCCTCGTCTTATGACGATGCTTGTTGCGACCTAGAACCTGACACGTTGAAGTTAGAGCTTCTTTGATCCCTTTCCAGTTGCCTTTCATGGTAGTTTATTCTTCTTCCCGTATATCCTGTAAGGCTTGAAACCTGTTAATAATAATAATATATTTCTGCATGAGCAGGTACACGCCATTTTTACAGGCATGTTGATAGTTATGAATTGGTTCAGGATGTCGATGGAAGGCTGAATATATGTATTGCTCTTCTGGAAGGCTCTTGAGGAAGACTAGATCACCTTGTACTTGTAGTTTTATAGACGGAATTCTCTTCCCTCCACTGCACTTAGAACAAATGACAATGTGTGCAACTAATGTTCAAACTAAGACTTTCCGAAACAGTCATACTTAAGGCAGTCAAATGAACGTATTGTATTTGCGCAATCAAGTACAAAGAAATCATGTTAGTGCTATTACCACAGCTACACAACCGAGCAACTCCTACACTTCGCCGACCTTACCTATTGGTGAAACTTTTACAAACACGCTTTATGCTGCCCACATTCATTATTTACCAGTAAACACACTGACAACAAATGTAGATTGTTTTGAAATTATATTGTAAGACAATAATATCACATTGTTGTTCAATGTTATTTTCTCATATTCTACTTCGTTACCCGCCGTCCTACCTCTATCCAACTCGGATAAATAGAATATAAAGATAAGCATCATTCTTAAATTGCATCACAACGTCCATTTGCATCATACTAATCAGTATCATATCTGTAGTGAACAAGAACACGTGGGGACAATCGAAGGTATTTGAACACGAAAGTACAGAACATTTCACTAACATATGAGGACCATTGAGTAAATAGTTAATTTACAAAATACTAATCAATTATCTCGAACTTGACTGCTTCTTTTGCAAATATCAATCCATCGTCTCAGATTTCATCGTTCGTGCATCTTCACACCAATTGCTATCTGTTTCCGTTCTTTCCTTCTCGATACATTCTATTTTTGATCATCATTATATACTACTTGTTATATATAAGTAGCTCACACCACAGTAACCGACAAAACAGATAACATACATCAGACATTGTGTGATAACTATAATCCTAATTATTATAACCATCATCCTGATAGCTAAAATACTAGGTAGCTAATCGTAGATATAGTGCAACATTTACCAGAAGATTTAACACAATATATGACAAGTTCACGATGACAGTAGTCGTCAAAATACTTAGGAAAATAAGCAATATTATATTCCTCACAACAGGCGGAATACTTGTTCGCATTACTGAAAGTAGAACGAAAACAATAATGGCAAGATCGGGGCCATAATTTTAATATTTGTACTGATGATAAGGACAGAAAGTCGCAGCGGTAAAATATAACCGTCCAATGAGTGACCGACTTTCAACCAATTTTTCTGACTGTTGCATGCTAATCAGTACATAAAACTTATATTTGAATTCACACGATCGGTAACAATCAGGTGGCTGCCAATTAGTTAGCTGTACATTCAAACTCGGTTCGATCTGTAAATGTGATGAGAAAATAATGCGACGAACGATTGTCAGACGTGTAATTAAAGTTAGTTTTTATGCGACTCCTTGGTTTCTCATGTCCATCGAAAATCTCCACTGTTCATATTGGCGAACAATCTCACTCGTAGCTTGTCTATCCGTGAATGGGTAGGGTATTCAGAACTTGATGCCGTTTCCCCAACTGTTCAGTGTTTTCTAGCTTCCGTTTGATCTTGGCAACCACCAGGTGGTGATCTGATGTTATGTCAGCCCCTCTCCTGTTTTCCATCTTCCATTATCATTCCGAATTTTTTATTGATACAGATATGATCTGGCAGGTTCTCTGTGATGTGATTCAGTGAGGCCCATGTAACTTTGTGTATGCGTTTGTGTGGGAATATTGTGCCGCCTATAACCATTTTCGTGAACGGACATAGATTTGCAAATCTCGCCTCATTTTCGTTCTTTTCTCCTAGTCCATGTTTTACCATGATATCTTCATATCCGGTGTTGTTCATTCCGACTCTGAAGTTTAGGTCTGCCATCAGGATGGTCTGGTTCTTTCCTGAACACTTCTCTATGATCGATTGCAGCTTCCCATAGAACTGATCTTAATCATCATCACTGATGAGTGCATAATGTAGTAATCCCATTCCACTACTGTATTATTTATTTGCTCATTGTAATTTAGACACTTGATTTTGTGTGAGTCTGATTGAGCACATGTCAATTTTTTATCTATTCTTCCTCGATCGTAATACACAGACAATCAATAATTTATCCAGACTTGATTAACACTCATATATATATGTAAATGGATTTTTGAACATTCGTTCACTCACACACACACTTGTGTTTTTCCTGCGTGCTTGCGTGCTGTATACTTGCGGATTTTACCAAGCTTTAACAATAAACTATCTCTATAACTGATGTTCGGGCTTTTTAATAGTCTCGAGTAAATCGATAATTCTACTGGGAGATTTAGCCTACAATAAAAACTCAGTTAAAGGGATACTATATATTAGAGTCAGATTAAGAGGAACTATGCCTCAACAAACTTGGTGAGCCACTACAATAACATTCATTGTATATTCCCTTCTTTGAAGGATGCTTTGATGATCCTGGGTCCATGAGATTTCCATCCCATAAGTGTATTTCATGCTTCTTTGGATAGCATCAGAACAACTCCCTGAGTGTGTGGAGCGATTCCATCTTCGTGATCGGAGTATAGCAGCATCTCGCTCGTACCTATCCTTTATTGTCAAACTTGTATACAATGGGTTTCGTTGGTTCCAAATATTGCCATGTTGTATCTCCACATTTCCCTCGCTAAGTGACTAGTCTTCCCGGTCTCCAACATTTTCTGGGCGTCCCATGTATTTATGTTAGTTGTTGCTCTGGTTGTTAAAAGGAGCATCGGCCTCGTGAGTCATGAAGATCCTCGGCTTTCATCATGAGGCGTCATAACTCCCCCTTCCCAGGACGGAGTTTAAGTGGTTTAAATTGTTTAATCTGGTTGGCGTATTTTATCAAGGTTGTCTTCCGCTGGATGTGGTTGCCAACCTCATGCCAAACCATTCATCTTTTCCCGTATTTGGAGCAGGCAGTGGCTCTAGAAAAGCTATGGTCTTGCTTATGATATCTTTGCACGAACCTTGAATTTTAACAGGTTGACATCGGATAATTATGGGCAACCAGTATATCACCATTGTGTTAACTATTATTTGTACTTACTCGTGTTTTTGTTTCTTCTGCAATAATTATATCCATTCGACTGTGTATGCGTCTTTTATCTAGTCTCATTGACACTTCGGGCTATGTTGATTGTCTCAGTAGTTCACACAACGATAGGTGCATACATCAATCTACACACTAATCAAAATAATTCATTTTTGTTCTCGCTCGGTTTAAAATGCTGATTAGTACTTGGAATAATCTTTCATGTCAATGCATTTTTTTCCCAACGTTGTATCAAGTGCTTTCTGATAATACAGGACACGTATGATAATCACATACAGCATTCAGATCTGAACTGGTCATGAACTGGTGAAATAACAATTACACTGTCTATTATAAAGCAATAAATCTTCATAGATTGCTGGTTATGCTTAAACAGTAAATTGTAATTTCATTCTCTCTACAAATATCCTCGTATACATTACATTGTCACATTAGCATATTTGGATAGTACTTACATTGGGTAGGAGTTCTCATTTTATTGTGCTCATTTTTATTGTGCTAGCTTATTCTTTCGCGACCTTTGTATATTTAGACTAAGTTCTTTTCTAAAACTAGCATATAAATGAATAATCTTCGGTAAAATGACTCCTA